GCTACCAAAGTTGGTAGAGCCTCCAAAGCTTGGCGCAGATGCACCGAATAGAGCGGGGGGCTTGGATTGAGAGGAGTTGTTTTTGGCATCGGGCGAAGTCTGCATCGACTCTCCAAAGGCAGTAGACTGAGAGAAAGGAGAGGGTTTATCCGTGCTTGATCCACCGAAGAGGTTAAGTTGAGGGGTACTGCTCGCAGCACCGTTGGCACCAAACAAATTGCTGCTGGCGGGCGCAGCTCCAGATAGACCAGAGGGTGCACTACTGGTGGGATTGCCGAAGATACCTCCGGGGGTGGTAGACTGCTGGGGGTTGTTTCCAAACAGACCTCCAGAAGGCAGAGACTGCTGGGCCTGACCGGAACTTTCCGTCGGCGGCAAATTAAACAAACTACCCTGGAAGCCGGAGAATTGACCGCCTCCGGATGAAGGCTGATTGCCACCTGAACTCATGGTAGCGAAAGGGTTATTAGTAGACGACGTTTGTCCTCCACCAGAAGAGAAATTGAAGGAGCTGCCGCCGGTTCCCGATCCAAAGGAAAAGGGCGAGCCTCCGTTCTGATTGGGTTGGCTAGAATTTGAGCTAGCGCCAGGAAAGCTTTGAGATTGTCCAAAAGTAAAGCTGCTGGAAGGTGGTTGGGGAGCAGGTGACGAAGAAGAGACGGTATTGGGACCAAGAGAGTTAAAGGCACCACTGAAAGAGGCACCTGTAGCACTTGGGGTAGAAGAGTTTGGACGACGTCTTCGAACGTCCTTGATTCTGTGAAGATGTTGTTAGAGAGGCTCAAATTGATCTGAAACAGATTCTGGCTGTGGGAAAGGTTTGGAAATGAGGGGTGGGAAAGTGGAAGATTATATGAAGAAGGGGGGGACGACAAAAGATAAGCACCTGACGCGCTCGACAATGAATGGTGGCCAGGCAGTGAAAATTTCCATGGCGACAGGAAGGAAATGCAGGTGAGTGGTGCAGACAGCAGTAAAGTTCGGGTTCTGAGGGTGATCGCAAAGGTCGGTCTACATTAACTTACTTTCGGCTTGCCAGCTGAGCGGCCGTGGCCCGCTGGGGCTTCTCTTCCGGTGTACTCGACATATTGAATGCGAATAGATTGGAATCCTTGTCCCCTTGAGGACCCTGAGCCCCTCTTTTAGACATTTATCGCACCCAAACCGCTCCGTCCGAAGCCGTCGATTGCTCTCAAGCTGACTGAGCGGTAGGTATCCAGCCCCTTCTTTTAGACCACGATATTAACAGAGCTATCCAACTCAGCTCTTTCCATCCACCAACTAGGGTCTGAAGGTTGCGCGGGGCTTCTCGCGTGAGGTCGTCCAGCGATTATCGATGATACTGGGCGATTTAACCTCCGGTTGTGACGGTCCGCAACCGATGTTGGAGGATCGAGCGATTACGGTCGCGACGTCCTAGAATCGCGCAAAAGGCGACGAAACGGTGTTCTTGATATCAGCGGAGGTTCCAAGGGATATTTACTGCCGTCTTTGCGCTGCAGGGCGATGAACACAACAGGTCACGCGCTCGTTGTGAGTATCGGAGATAGATCGCGAAAGGCGCGAGGTTAACCGCAGCAACGAGTCGACAACGGTCAATGCTCTTCAAGGGCGAAATGGCTATGACTATAGGGAGAAAGGAGATGAGGGAAGGACGGCGACGCTTTGTGTTTGAGAAATAAAGGGGAGGAGGGTCCCTTTCGATGCGCTCTTGCCGTGCCAGGGGGGGGTGGAGGGATAGGAGATGTTCAAACGGAGCTGCTTTTTTTTGGCCTTCCACCGTTTGGCTCGCGACTTTTTTTTTCTTCGGCGGCGGAAGGGCGAAAGGCTCAGCTGGCAGAAAATACGCTCACGTGATGCCGGCCAGGCGCTGCTTGGCGGTTCTCCGCGTTGTGGACGCAGAGAAGCGTCAGAGTCACTCGAAAGAAGGAGAGTTGACACGGTGCAGGGTGCATGCGCATCTACGGTGCCAACTGAACTTGCGCGAAGATGGTCCTCAAAACACTTCGCACCCACGCCAGAGGGACGACCCTCTTCTTCTAATATACCTACCTGCCTGCCTTTACCCGGCCCTGACGACACGGAACGGTATTTTCCACCGACGGAGAGCACCGTGGGGCAAGAGCGCCGTAACGTCTTACCTTACACCTTGTTTCCATGGCAAAAGGAATCACTAATGCGGGCGACGAATATGACGTCTTGAATGCCGCCGATCTGCAGCAACCGCCTGGAAGATAAGAGGGATCGAGGCTGGAGAGAAGAGCCGATAAATTTTTTCGATATGCAACGTGTATGATAGGTTATAATTTAGATACTATTCCAACTTCGGAATCATCAGTTTCTTTGTTGTTTGTTTGAGTTATCGGACGGTTACCCCCTGAGATATATATTCGGCCGCGATGTGACAAAGGGAAACACCCACGGACTGGGGATAAGATCTCTACGGCCTCAAGTCCAGAAATAAGATTCATCGCAAACTTCAATATGCCGGTTGCTGTTTAATCCGCATACATAATGGGTACTGGCTGGGAATCTACGCATACATCGGGGGATTATCCGGTAAATAAACCGGATAACGTGGCACATCGCGAAAGACAGGATTTTGGCGAGGATTTCGTGGGCAAATGCACAGCAAAATCAAAATCGTGACATAATATGGAACCGAGGAAAATATTTAAACGAATACAAATAACAGGGTATCTATAGCTTGGCCTTGCCTTGGGCCTTCTTCATGATGGGTTCCATCTTCGTTGCCTTCATAATGTTGCCCTTGATCTTGAGCTTGCCTCCCATGAAAAGTCGCTGGGCGTTGGCCTTGCCCGAAACCAGCGAAGCGAAGTCTTCGTCAGACAGCGAAAGGGTCACTGTCGGATATCGCCGAGAATCAGCACGGAACCGTAAATCTCCATGGGACACGTTAAGCCGAGAGGACCGGATGTACTAACCGTCGGCCTTTCCACCGGGAGGAGCAGCGCCCTTGCCCACGGCCCCGTTCTCCTTGAGGTCCAAGTACCAGCTGTCTTCCTCTCCCTTCGAGTTCTTGAGGTTGAAAGCGACGACGGCCTTGGCCTTGTTGACGGCGTCTTTGCGCTCGGCAGCGTCACCCTGGAGGGTGGAGTGGATCACGTCGAAGGCGGCGGACGAAGGGAAAGCGGCTGAGGTAGCGAGATAAGTTGAGTGTCAGCTAGAGTCTCGGAAAGCAGAGAGGGGTTGTATCGCATGTAGGCGACCGGTGGGATTGACGAGAGGACAGACATACCATTTTTGAGAGCCATGGTTGATATAAATAATATGGGTTGCGGAATAGACTGGGGGGGTGATGATACGTCGAGTAGGAGTCAAAGGAGTAAGAGTAAGAGTAAGAGTAAGATGCAAGGTTCGATGACGGAGAAGTCGGAGGATGACAGATGTTAAATAAGAAGAGTAGAGGATATCCGGGGTTCGACCACCGGCCCAAGGAAGCTACCCCGGAGTGTTCGGGGCATGTGAACGGGGGAGGCGGTCGGGCGGCATTTGGACCGAGGCTGCCGCGGGCGCTCCTGTGATCAGGAAAGCTTCGTTGAGATCTACACAGTACACAGTAAGCTCTCTACTTGCCCCCTTCCACGGACTCGAACGGAGCATCTACCGTGCATGGAATCGACGACCCCATAAATGCCTGTCTATCCTCTCCCAATGCGGTAAGCATTGCGCACCATGTCCGCCATCGATGCCACATGGATCAGGCTGGGCCTCGTTTCCCGGCCGGAGGAGTTCACCTGAAGGACATACCATGCGAGGGTTCCTTGAATGTGGCTACTCCGGAGAAAATGCTAGAAATTACACCTTGCAGGCCTGTGACGTTAAGCTGGCAATCTTTCTCGCAGCCAGGCCGCCCGAGGCCCTTTTTCTCTGTGTGGACATGCTTCGTCAATGTAGCTATTAAACTATGTACAGAGTAGAAAATTTACTTCTGTCATTTTGGTACTTCCTATAATCACTTTTGCGCAAATGTCTCCTTATGTGACTTGCAAGTAGAATGGTATTAACACCACCGGCCTCCCCTTGAACTATATAAAGCCAGCATGTCTTCTATAACCAAATAGTGCTTTATTTTTGAACCACCTCCACTGGTGGATGCAGCGAAGCCTACACTATACAAAGTGAAGAACTGGCTTTGATTTTCATGCTATAGTAGAGGAGTTCCACTAGAGGCCCCTCCTTCATCTATCAGCTTTACAGATTCCTAACCGGCCTTTTCAATAATATAAATATCTTATGCGTCTGCAACTGAGTTTGACTTTTCTACGATCTTCAGTGAAACAGATATGATCCAAATCTAACTGCCGGTGTGGGGTGAGTTGTATAGAGGGGAATCTTGCCCTGCCGGTAGCGTCCATTAAAAGAAATCAATATTAACAGATATCTGTACATAGAGAGAAAACAGAGCGAATTGGAACATTCCAGTCCGAGATCAGGATATATCAGGTAAAGTTGTATCGCAGAGGGATCAAGTTGATACATAAGGCGGCAGGCAGCGTTTTGATGACAGATCAGGTTGCCACCCCGTGACTTTCGGGATCACTGATTTTCCCCTGCAGCGACTTTTCTACTTTTCTACCAGTCTACAACAGAGTCAATCAATCAATCAATCAATCAAGCGAAGCTGCAGCCTCCCATTCATCCCTCGTCCCCTCTTCCCCCTTTTATTTTCTTTTGTTTTCGTTGTGCTTCTTTCCTTTGATTATTCTTTGTAATGACCGAAATCTTTTCTGGTTCCTCTTCTTGACGTTCTTCCGTCATCCTTTCTTAACTTCGGACTTTGCTCCGCCAAGAGCGATCGTCAACACGACTAATTATCAGTTACTTGAGAGTTTCGACGCGGACTTTCATTTACGGCTGTGGACATCGGTCCAGTTCGCGTCTATTTCTGGCTAGACGTGGGGCCTTTCATCTTTCGCAGGCCGAGCCCTTACAAAGTTCTAGGTTTGTGCAAAACCACCCGTTGCCGGACTTAAGTTATGGCGTCTTCGACAAACGACGCGTCCATCGAGGATGTCTTGGATGATCTGCAATTGAATCAGGTCATTCTGGAAAGTCTAGACCAAGAACGGCCTGATGCGGTCGTTGAGAGACAGGAGATTCTAGACACCATTAAAGACCTTGAAGCGCGTCTAGCGGCACTCCGCGGTGATCCTCCCGCAAGTTTTCAGAGTCAACCTTCTTCTCATGGCCCCGCAGATCATACAGATGTAACTCGGCCCCAATTAGATGACCGGTCTGACGCATCTGCCTCATGGTCATTTCAATCAAATTATCCGCGAGATTCGCCTCTTTTCGTGGCACCCTCAAATATGCGGAAGCGTCAGCGTAATGAAGACGTGGTCGATGAGCATGAAGACGGCGATGAAGATGCCGAAACAGATTACACAGATGATCTTGAACTGCCGGCCAAGCGTGTGCGAACAAGCCGACCATCGGATAACTCCAGTTACATTGACCGGTCGAGCCCCAGCATGCCGACAGATGACGGTGCTGACGAGCTGCAAAAACTTCTCGGTTTGGACAGTCGGGATACCCTCTTACGTCTCCAGGAGGATCAGCGCAAGGCTGAACAATGGCTTGAGATTCGCAAGGAACAGGAGCGACGAGATGAAGAGTTTGCCCGTAGGCTCAACGAAGGCTTTCACGAGCCTCACCGGCCGTCACCACCCGTGATCAGTGCTCATCATGGCATAATCTCTACTTTTCCTGGCCCATCCCTTTCAGCCGAGGGGAGGGGCGATCAATGGTCATCATATCGTGATCCCAGTCATGATCCCAGTCATGATCCCAGTCGCCCGAAATTCCGAGCCCCGTTACTCCCGGACAGAAGTCGCACCGGATCCGAACGCTACCCCGTCCCTATAGCTCAAGACAGCGATGATAGCGACCTCGCAGAAATCACTGAAGGCGATTTCCAGCGTCACACACGTAGCCCATCGACACATTACACTGACGGCATACACAGCCATCCTTGGATGCCCAGGCGTCCAGAAGCAGACCGATTCGAAAGCCTACCACCTGGCGGTTTCGGTGTGTCTGGTCCAGTGTACGGGCCAAGTGTGTTCCAAAACACTCTGGCAAGGCTTAATGCAGGAAAGCAGCTGTTTGAACAGGCAGGGAGATCCTTATTCGGTTCAGATTCTAGTCCGTTTTCATCACATCGTGGGCCAGGAATGCCGTTCCCTGATCATGGAGGTCCAGAATATCCCTATTACGATATGTTTCCTGATCTCTACGGACAGGGGGAGGATCCCCAAAAAATCAACGATGATATCAAGCAATTGCTTGAAACCATCAGACCCGATTCCGATATCTCGAAGGAAAATCGGGAAGGCACCCCTGAAGCCCTGAAACTTAATTTGCTGGAGCACCAGAAGCTAGGGCTGGCGTGGATGAAATCTTTGGAGGAACAGGAGCAGAAAGGCGGCATTCTTGCAGATGATATGGGACTGGGAAAGACAATCCAAGCCATCGCGCTTATGGTCGCCCGACCTCCTGAAGACCCGGAAAGAAAACCAACACTCATCATTGCTCCGGTCGCATTGATGCAGCAATGGAAGCGAGAAATCCACAGAGTTCTAAAGCCCGGCCAACACCAGCTGAGTGTCTACGTATTGCATGGCGACAAACGAGCAGTGGGCTTCAGGGACCTGAGAGACTATGATGTGGTTCTTACCACTTTCGGTACCCTGTCCTCTGAATTGAAGCGCAGGGAAAAGTATGATGAACTCCACGGACATGAACCGACCGAGTCCAGAGAGCTTCTCAAATCTATGCCATGTCTTGGTCCAAGCAGCAAATGGTATCGTGTCATCATAGACGAAGCCCAGTGCATCAAAAATCGGAATACAAAGGCTGCGATAGCGTGTTGCCGTCTTGACTCGATTTACCGCTGGTGCATGAGCGGGACTCCGATGATGAACAGCGTTCAGGAGCTGCATTCTCTGTTGAAGTTTTTGCGCATTCGACCTTACGGTAACCTAGAAAGATTCAATCATGTAAGTACACTCGCTCTTCCTATCCTATCACCAATCGAATGTCTAACAAACCTTGTTCTCAGGACTTTACGCGCCCGTTGAAGTCTGGTAGTGCTAGTGCGCAGGAAAAAGCGATGAAACAGCTGCAGGTGTTGCTCAAGGCGGTTCTTTTGAGACGAACAAAAGAATCTAAGATCGACGGCAAACCCATTCTTCAACTCCCACGGAGGGTGTCTGAAAAGGTGCATGCTGTTTTCAGTGACGATGAACAGGAATTGTATTCGGCACTTGAAGCGCAGACTCAACTCCAGTTCAACAAATACCTTGAAGCTGGCACTGTTGGACGCAATTACTCCAACATCCTGGTCTTGCTCCTCCGACTTCGACAAGCTTGTTGCCACCCCCACCTGATTAAAGACTATAGCGTCAAGCTCAATGCGAACACAGATGAGCTGGATCTCGTTGAGAATGCGAAAGCTTTTGGCAACGAAGTTGTCATTCGTCTGAAAGGAAACAGTGACCTCGAATGTCCCATCTGCATTGACGCCGTTGATAATCCGATCATTTTCTTCCCCTGTGGCCATAGCACCTGCGCTGAGTGTTTCTCAAGGATTTCAGACCCAGAGCTGTCCGTGAGGCAAGGCCACGATGGCAGTGTCGATGTTAAGTGCCCAAATTGCCGTGGCAAGGTTGATCCTAAAAAGATCACCGATCATATGTCGTTCAAGAAAGTTCACTTCCCCGACGAGTCCAGCGAGTCCGCAGCGTTGGAACTGCCCAAACCCGCTGAAGCAGACGAGGACGACAGTGATGACAGCGACCAAGACAGCTTGTCCCGATTCATCGTGAGTGACGACGAAAATAACAAGACCGCTCAGTCGTCGAAACGTAAGAAGAAAGGGAAAATGCCCCAAAAAATCAAGAAGACCCTTGCGGATCTAAAGAGGGAAGCTTCGAAAAATCAAAAATCCAAGCGCAAATATCTCCGTCGCCTGGACAAAACATGGATATCCAGCGCCAAGATCGATAAAGTCATGGACATCTTACGCGATGTTCAGCTCGGCGAAGCAAAGGAGAAAACCATTATCTTCAGCCAATTTACTGCGTTGCTTGACTTGCTGGAGGTTCCGATCATGCGCAGCGGATGGGGCTACCGACGCTACGATGGCAGTATGAAACCTGCGGACCGGAACTCGGCGGTGCTCGATTTCACCGACAATCCTGACTGCAGGATTATGTTGGTGTCCTTGAAGGCTGGTAATGCTGGACTGAACCTTGTCGCTGCATCTCAAGTTATAATCTTCGATCCGTTCTGGAACCCGTACATTGAGGAGCAGGCGATTGACCGTGCTCATCGAATCGGACAGTTGAGGGAAGTCCATGTCCATCGAATTTTGGTAGAGAAAACCGTCGAGGATCGCATCCTCGAACTGCAGGACAAGAAGCGAGAAATCATCGAAGGCGCCCTAGACGAAAATGCCTCGAAGAGCATTTCTCGTTTGGGAACCAGAGAACTGGCCTACTTGTTTGTAAGTCTTCCGATCACACCCCACGCATAGACATAACGGTGCTAACTTTCTTGTTCAGGGTGTCCATTAAACATCTCCCCCCTAATCATATCACGACACGGCGTTGGTGGATTTCTGCAGCTCTATCGATTGCGTTGAATCCATTTCAAATGAAACCAAGATACCCCCATAATCTGTCTGTTCTTCTGCCCCGGCTATGTTACGAAATGCATCCGTTTTCCTGTATTTGTTTAATTTCTTCTCTCGATTGACATAGACCAGGACACTGGCATTGAGAGCATCAAAAATCGATTCCTTCGAGAACCTTTCCTTTTCATGATTCTGCTTGCACTTCAAGCCCCTCGTCCCTTAATGTCTCTTTAGATAGACAGTTGGCTAGGTTTTTGAGGAATCTGAGTTATTTCGGTTACACTTGCTTTCCATTACAATTTATTCTATTCTAGAGATTGATTGATTGTCTTGTTTTCAAGTTCTTTCTCTCTTTGTTTTGTCTCCATCACTAAATTGATTTCTTTTGAAAGATTCTTCACCTCGATCAATCATCTCTCCGTAGCTATACAGTGCTTGTCCACTAAACACGTAAGAAAATAGATCACTCGTCCGCGGACCCCGCAGGAGCCCACTCCGGATTTCGGATTTCGGCCGTCAAGCACGCACACGGTCAGCCAGTTCACCTTCTTATCCCTTTGTGCCCTGAGAATCTCCGCAAAATCACCTCTCAAGGAACCGATTTCTTCTCAAAATGAGTACGATTTCAATCGATATGCACGTAGCACAGATCAAGCGTATTGTGGCAATTCCCACCTCTCCAAGCAGTGCAATAGCTGACTCTCTAGAGCGAAGAAACCAAGCATCTCTATCGCGAACGTCTTGCAACGGCCCCTTGGGTTGGATTCGATCTCGATAATACCTTACACGAATTTAGATACGCCTCGGCGTGTGCATGCAATACTGTCTTCGAGACTATTTCGGAGCGGCATGGAATATCAACGACGTTTCTCCAAGACCGATATGTCGTGATCTTGCAAGAGATGACATCGAATGCTTTTTCTGATGGCAGGTCTTCTTATGACTATCGTCGAGGGAGGTTTGTGGCTCTGTTGGATTCGTTTAAGATTGGAATCGATTTGGAATTCGTGAATGAGCTTTTGACGCGATATGAATCGTCCCTTGAGGCGGCGTTGACGCTGAAAGATGGTGCGGTTAGTCTGCTGAGTGATTTGAAACGCCGGGGTAAGAATATTGTGGTCATTACGGAGGGTCCGCAGGATAGTCAGGAATGGACGATTGAGAAGCTGGGCATTGCAAAGTATATTGACTACCTCGCGACGACTAACCGGTTCAAAACAACTAAGACGACGGGCTTGTTCGACCGCGTTCTGAAGCACTTGGGTATCTCGCCTGACGATATCGTGTATATTGGTGATAATATGGATCGGGATATCGTACCTGCTGTCGAAGAAGGTATTCTTTGTATCTACTTGGGAGGCACGCAGAGCGGTTGGATCGGCGATGGCCACTTCCGGGTCAGCGAACTCGCTGAAATCCAGAAGTTGCTGGAAGACTAAACGGTAGTTTAGATCGACGATATTTGGGAAATTGGTGGCTTTCTCCTAGTTAAAGCGTGCGCACGCTGCCGTAACCTTAACATCTTTGTACAGTGGCTCTGAGGGTCATTCTCATAGGAAGGAAGGGGATTCTGGGTTTATTTCTAACTCCCCAGGTGCCGCATTGGTACTGTAGATGCTGGAAGACAGCAGAGCTAGCTTGACCTGTTTCCTAGAGCTATTTCTTGTCTCAGCACCTTTTGCGGCGAAAGATGATGTGGTCCGCGCGGTGAATGACTCTGAAATTTGGGGCTATATCTTTCCATTGGCTTGCTTGCATGCACTCATAGCAAAACCTCAACTGCGGCCCTGGCACTTCAAGATCCGAAGCCATCCTAGGTAGTGTATATGAGCGCCTCTGTTTGGGGGGGGTTTAGACTGGAAATGGTTTAGTAGGTATCCGTTTCTTCATAAAACAACCCACCATTCATTCCACTTCTTTGAGGCAATCCTTTGCAGTCCACGAAAGGGAGCATTTCTTCCAAAGAAATCTCTCTGTCAGGAGATATTACGGTTGTAATATGGTACGTATAGTGGCCTAGGTAACCAGGTACCTGGTCCTACATAGTTATACGACCTGCTTGTAGTTACCCGAATGACATCATGACGTCACCCACAATGTCTATTGTTGCGTTGTGCGGTTCTTGGATTTTCCATGGGATCGATCTTCATTGGTGATCAAATGGGGGTTCTGTGTATCGAGCCTCTCTCTCTTTGTTTTATTTTATTTGTTTATTTTTGACCCCTTGCAGATTTGGTGTCACGGATGGGTATGTACGTATGTAAGGTGGTTTGTGGATGCGAGTTACTGAGTTTTAGGCATTTTGGTTTCACGGTTAGGTAGATAGAAAGGCATTTTTGGTTTCGCTTTTCCAATCGACTATTGCTAGAGTCGTGGGTCACATTGCTTTTTTTGGGTGATTAATTGGATCGCCTCGCGAGAGAGGGCAGGGAAGAAAAAAAAAAGGTGAAGAGAAAAAAAAAAGAACTTTGAAGATAAAAGGAGTCTAGACTACTATTTGTAATATTGCAAACGCATAATCATGCCGACCGTTTCTCGGGCCTTTCCACCGACCGCTATTCGTTGTATCGTAATTGGAGACTTTGCATAACGAAACAAACACTTGCAGGGAAAAGGGAGATCCTCTGCCATGGTTGCGCAATGACCGATGGATCGCTTTTCCCCTATCCCATTTGGTGACCTGACGTTTAGAGGTCTGCGTCCTCCTCGTCGGGCAGGGGCATCTGCGCGGCGGCGGCCATCTCGTCGTTGTACTTGGCAAGGAGCTCGGGGTCGACCTGCACCTCGGGGGGAGCGAGAGCAGGGGCAGCAACGAATTCCTGAGGGCAGGGGGTGTTAGTGAAGAGTCCAGAGGTGCTGAAGGAGAGTTCTAGGAGTCTTACCAGCTGAGGGTTGCCGACCAGCTTGCGAGCGAGCCACAGGAAGGGCTTCTCGAAGTTGTAGTTGGACTTGGCGGAGATGTCGTAGTACTGGAGGTTCTTCTTGCGGTGGAAGGTGATGGTCTTGGCCTTCACCTTACGCTCCTTAACATCGACCTTGTTACCGCACAGCACGATGGGGATACCCTCGCAGACACGGACGAGATCACCTGCAATTCATGGTCAAAAATGCGAACGAATCGAAAGCCTCAAAAATTGCTGGATGAACTTACGGTGCCAGTTGGGGACGTTCTTGTAGGTGATACGCGAGGTCACATCGAACATGATGATACCGCACTGGCCGTTGATATAGTAACCATCTCGGAGACCACCGAACTTCTCCTGACCGGCCGTGTCCCACACGTCGAACTGGATCGTTCCCAGGTTCTGGCATACAGGTTAGTCGAGCGAAAAAACAAGGGCGGTGGGACGACCAAAGCGGGGTCGCTGGCGGGGCATACGGTGGTGAAAGTAAGAGGGTGCACCTCGACACCGAGAGTGGCGATGTACTTCTTCTCGAACTCGCCAGTCAAGTGACGCTTGACGAAGGTGGTCTGTAGTCGATCAACGTTAGCGATATTCCATGTCGATGACTTGGTAGGCGGGAAGAGAAATTTTTTTTGTTGACAGCGGCGGGGAGTGGGATAAACAAAGACGGCTCGACAGATTCTATTGCCGAAGACGGCGACAGGAGTCTCGTATCTGAAGACATCGATGCATTAGAGGACAAAAATGATCTAACTTGCCTTTCCAGTACCACCGTCACCGACAAGGACGAGCTTGAAGGTTGGTGGGGCCTGCGCGGCTTCAGCCATAGTGATGGTTTATGTGAGGTGAAAAAAAGGGCGAAAAAAAAGGATTAGAGGTGAAAATAAGTCGGTAACACGAAAAGACGTGTATTCGAGGTCGTCAAATAAAGGCGACGGGAGGAGGGCGATGGAAGAAGGGGTGTGCGGTAGAGCGACGTGAGGATAGGGAGGAACAGAACGAAAGGCGATTTTGGTGATGGAATTTTTGCCCGTCGGTCGTCCAACCCCGTAGGTCACGTGATATTGGAGCCTCAGGCATGCATGCCCCGCGGGATTGCGGCACAAAGCGGTCGATCCAGGCAGACAAAGGACAAACCAGACGGCCTGCTTATTCTACGGCGCGTTTTATTATTAGAACCTCTTTGACTCGTACTCAGACGGTGAATGCCTCTCGTCTGCATTATTATGTCGGTTCTGGCACCAAATACTAGTCATAAGCCATATTCAAAGCATGTCGCCATGTCTCATCCCTCACCCGAGGTTGAAAAAAATAAAGAAAAAAAAATAATAATAAAGACGCTAATTTAACCTATTGCATCACCGACCAACTTCCTTTTCATTCCGTTCACAGAGGGACCAGATGACAGCCCAATAGACCTCGTCCACCCCAGTCACGGCGTGGTGTAAGCTCCAGGGTCAAATCCGCACTGCTGCCCAACTCATCTTTCCTGATAACCTTCACGGGGACGGCTCGCTAAAGGAAGTCAGTCAGAAGGCTTAAGCCTAAGATGCCGGACATTTGAACCCGCCAATAGAATTGAACGCATAGGAAATGGAAAAGAGGGGGCCATGCTTACGCCTTCGTTTTGTTGAACGACCTCTGCAACTTTGGCTAGACATTCATGGTTGATCCAGTTCACAGTTCCAAAGCTGCGAATAGTATCGCCTGTTTTTAGACCGGCCTGATCTGCGGGGCTTGCAGGTACGACACTGTTCACTCTTGCGAACGCCGGCCCCAGTGCCCCTACATTCGATAGAGAAGTATCATTCGAGTCCGACCGCGTTCCGTTGGTCCCGGGGACGCTGTCGGAAGTCGTAGAGCCCTGCGCGCGCTGCAAATTCGTAAATTGTTCGTGGACTTTCTTCTCGAGATTGGTCATGACATCTTTGTGATCGTTGCGAAGTCGGATGATTTTGGTTCGAATCGTACGGACTAAGATAGATTCTTAGTAGATATACCAACACGTTATTGTTCGCTGCTTACTTTGGGCGATGTCGATGTCGTCTCGTGGGTATCCGTCGAAGGTTGTGAGGGTGGTGTTCATGTTCACGCTATGCTAGAGAGACGTATCGTCAGTTATGTCACGATAGCGATTTGAGAGTTGTAAACAAGAGAGAGTGCACTAACCGAGCTAAGGACACCGCTGAGCGTTGATAGCTCTTCTTCGATGCGTTCCTTTTCCTGCATCAAGTCGGTCATCGAGAGCTTAGCCAGATCGCGAGGAGCCTCTCCGGACGAAGGCCCGGAGGACACTGTAGGAGCGTGGATGTTATCGTCCATGGGGATGCCCATTCTAAGAAGAGTTAAGACAAGTAGAGCATGATTGGGAAGGGTTGAAATACAATGAAATCTAGTCAAGAGGGTTGTTTGCGACAGCTATCGGTTTGGTGGGTTGCGTCAATCTGGGGAGTTGCGCAGCGTTGCTGGGCTTGGCATGGCCAAGGACTGAGTACTGCGGCTTGGTACAGTACTACAACTTTAGGTAAGATCAAGGTCTATAGTTAACTATGCAGTACGGGCCTACATATATACTTAAATGAAAAATTCAGATAATTTTACAATTCTCTTACAGTTCATCATAGATACAATTTCCGACCTACTGCCGCTAGTACAAATCTAATCTTCGTTGTACATATATTCAGATGTTTACCATTGTTGCTGCCCGAAATGTTGTTCATGACTGAGGCACACTTCTAATTCATCTCGATTGCTTCCTGCTTTCTCAGGCATTCTAGGTCAAGGTCGTGACTTCCACTTTCTCTTCGTACTCTTTGGCTCTTCTCCGCCAAGGCACACTCCGCCAAATCCAAGACAATGTGTTGCTTTTGTATTTTCAACCGGACTTCCCAAATGCTTTCCCTTATTCTCTCTGATACCACTTCGCTCGTCAATTATAATGACTGACTTGGAGGAAACCGCGCCAAAGCCATTCCCCCTTGTGGAACCCTATGACCTAGAGAGACTTGTGGACACTAGCAACCTCCTTGAATCTGCGGATGGTGTGGCTGGTTTTCTCCCGTTCAGGCGATGGGTGAAAAGTTTTCGAGAAAAACGAGAGTACCCCGGGCAGAAATGTCAGAGATACGTTGAAGGCTGGTCTGACACTTCATCAAGTCGCTGCGAGAATTCCTTGAGTCTCTCAACTGGAAACGGGGCGCAGGAGCTGCAATGGGAGGCAATGTCAAGGCACTCTTCTCACCTAGGCACAGTGAAAACGAACACAATGAGTATCACAAGCCAGAGCGTCATGAGATCAAGAGGGGCAACCCAGAGTACAACTAATTATAGCGCCAAATCGGACATGCGACAGTCCACGGAGAGCGCAAGACCTGTGAGCTGGATCATGGACGAAGAGGCACACAACCGAGCGGTCAAAAGACGCAGAGCGTTACGGGAGATAATAGTCACCGAATCGGATTATGTGCTTGGATTGAAAGCCCTTACCGATGTATGCTTCTTGACCGGGTGACGAATTCTTGAATTTTGTCCTCTTAGTTGACGATCGCTCTTCAGATCCTTCTCCTCTTCTCGGCAAGACAGGAGATTTACCGCAATCTCCAATTGATACGCGGAACACACGACGCCTTCCTGACTCGACTACGGACCGTGACGCCTAGGTCATGCCTCCCCGGGATGGAGCCTGGACAGCCCATACTCAGCAAGACACTGAAACACTCCAACACAGTCGACCTAAGTTTCAAGGCTTTCCAGAACAGATCGACAGGGACTCGCAACCCGAGCGCAAGGCCAAATCTTCGCATCAAAGCTATAACTGCGGAAACTAACGAGGCGCTGGAGGTCGCCCGTGAGATTGACAAACTGGTAGGTGAGGGTTGCTCTGCTCGTCTGTCAACGCTGACAACTTGTGCCAAAGTCCATGTCATTCGTAGTATATAAAGACTTCTGCAGTCACTACGAGCAGTTAATGCAAGATATGGATCTCTTACGTCGCTCGGCACCCAATTGGCCCATCCTCGACCAAGGCATCGAAGCTCTATCCAAGTCAGTGGCATCCATGGAAAGCCGGACTCTGGAGCCAAACAAGTCCATGTCTTTGAACGATCTCCTCATCAAGGTTAGTCAGGAGTCACACAGTTAGGACTGTACAAAACTTTCTGACTTAGACATCCAGCCCATCCAACGGCTTTGCAAGTACCCACTGCTGCTTCAAGAGCTACTCAAGTGGACCCCTATACAGGACGATCCATCTGCTCACGATAGCATAAGAGAAGTCTTAGAATGCGTGCGAGCCACGGTTGCCCAGATCAATGAGGCACCGAGCAATCCCATCAACAGGAAACTCGCCCATCAAACGCTTTTGCTGCAAAACATGTTGGAGTTTCCCAAAGAGGTAAGATGGCCCAGGCAATTGCCCTACAGGGTCTGATTTACTAAAGCCTAGGCCTTACAGACGTCCTTGCATGATGTTTATCGTGAACTAGGGCCAATAAGTCTCTGTGGCGTGCTCCATGTGACTTACCAAACGTCCAGTCATCTGATGGGTGGCTATATGGTTTGCGTTCTGTTCAAGAATCATTTCTTTCTCGCAAGAGTACAGGATGACTTCCGAAGGCTCCATGCAGTGATGTGTTTATACACCTCTGATGTAAAGATTGATACACCGAGAAATGGCCAAGGTAAGGCATGGTTAACCTTGATCTTTGACCTATGCTAAACGGTTGACAGGATTGTCTTGCCATAAGTGTTATTTCTCATGGAAGCTAGTATTCCAACACGAAGATAAAAGATTCGAGCTGGTTTTAAGCGCCTCAAGTGCAAACGAAGAGAGGTTATGGAAAACAGGACTGCTGAAATCCGTAGCGGCATCAGCTGATGTGCAGAGACCAGTCTCTTCCGGGCAAAGTAAATATTGCTTCTTGTCTTTGGGTCTCCAGCCTCTGGATAGCGGCAGACCTTCGATTCATTCATTGGCATTCCCCTGGACAGAGTCCAATTTACAGCATATAATTATCAAAAAGACTCATTGCCCACATAAACTCGGAACCGCCGACGTTGAGACCGAAGGGGTAACTGAACGACCAAAGACGCCTTCGTCACCACCTCTGGTACTGACGAGCAGGAGGCAGGAGCGCGTCCGGCTAGAACGGGTGATTTCACCCATTTACACCCGTGATTCTCTCCCTTATCCTGGAATGATACTGACGAAGGGCGATATTCTGTTTGGGTCCGGGTCGGTTATGAGACGGCTCAGCCTCCGCCCAGGGATACATAGGCGATCTAGCTCTGCACACTTGCCCAGTCGCAGAACGATCGAAGAAAATCAAGAAAAGGCAGAATCCGCAGACGATGGTCATATAGATGAAGTGGTGCAACGCAAATCGGAACACGATCCTGAAAAAGGGCACATGCTACCCATTTACAGCTTTGGAACGATCGGACGGAGCAAGACATTGAGGCGCAAAAGCAGTTCTAGGCAGCCTTCCAGCCCTGATTCGCAAATTTGCATTGGCAAGGGGGAGGGAAGCCATGAAAGCCTTGAAAGCCCTTCCATTACATCCTCGATCCGGACGATATTCAATTCGATGTCTCTACGAAAGGCAAAGAGAAATCGCCGTATGGGCTTGGCTGGTGGAGGGGGATGATGCAACCGGTATGGAGACGGGGCTGCAGTATTGCATCAAGGAGCATGACACAACTGGTCGGGGAACGTTACTATTCTATTCATGTCGATTCGATGGCTGCGGGGCGTGGGCTGATGATGTGGTGCTTGGCGAGACGTAATGGCCAGAATCACCAGGGGAAGATCGTAATGAGTGAGGGAATCCGGATAGCCAGGTGAGGGAAGCACCCCACCGGTGTGCAACAGAAGGAAAGAAGTGGCTCCAGTCTGATGGATCCCTTGCAAGAGAGAACGTTTACGAAAGCCGGGCAGGCTATGACGTCGAAGCTCGGCCACACCCTCCCATCCCACCAGATGTCCTTATTTAAAGGCCGTCCCTTTGGCCTCTCATAGTAATTAAGTATTATAACCAAAATATCACTCCACTGAGACCATCTTGACCAATACTGAGTCTTTTTCTCCTGTCTTTTTTGATACCCAAAGTTCATTGTTCTTGAACTCTTCCCTCTCCGCGTGATTGTCCCCGCCCTGCCAACCTGGTGACGTCATTGACCGTTCATACTTAACCTGCCTGCACCACGCCATTCTCTCCCTCTCCTCTTCATCTCCTCTGTCTCCTTTCGATAAACCAATTACTCTCTAAACAACACTCTCTACACTTCCAAAATGCGTGCCAACGACGCCACCACCAAGATCTTCTACAAGGGTACCTCCGAGGACTTCATCGTCTTCGTCGATGACGTGAAGATTCTCGAGCAATGGCGCCAGGACCGCTCCATCGCTCTGTCTAACGTGCTGAACGGCTGGAAGATCTTTGTTACCCACAAGTAAGTCAATGTCTCTAGTAAGCTCCTCTATCAAGCCCAACTAACATCCCCCTCAGGCACGGCGCCCAGGGTGTCCTCGACGGAGCTAGCAAGGCTACTCTCCAGAACGAGTTCGGAACCACCGACGAAGACACTTGCATGACGAAGATCCTTGAGAAGGGTGAATACCAGGTGACTGCTGTATGTGCTGACCCACTTCAATCTTTACTTAATACTTTCAAAGTGGCATATACTAACCATCTCATCAACAGGGCAAGGAACACCAGGGTGATACCAACCTTCGCAACGGTCCCGCTATGATCTCGCGGTAATTTCTAATCGCCGTATGACGGATGCCATTTTTCTGGGAATCATGGCATGATCGGCGTTTTCTTCTACTTTGTTCTATTTTTCTTTTTTTTTATCGACCCGAACGTTTCATGGGGTCGCGGGATTGTTGATCAACTTACCTAACGGATACTACTGCAATATTCTACGAGGCATGATGATTTGAGGTGTTTATTGTGTATGTTACCCCTAGGATTAGGGATGGTACTGCGGTTTGATATGGTAGATTCTTGCATCGTTAGATAATATAGCATTTACATAACTATTATTATTTGCTGGGTTCTTTTCAAGTTAATTGTAGTTTCATTTGGTAGAAGTTTGCTTTGTATAAATAGTCATGATCTATATCAAATCAATTCCTTCTGTTCCTCTTCGGATTTCTTCATCTCCTCTCGTCGCCCAACCACCCACGTCCCCAACTCATTCCACACAGCCTCTTTCTGCGCCATCGTCATCCCCGCCGCCAGCCCACTCGTCGTCGTAGCCACAAACACCGGCGCCCCATCCCACCCCTCGCACCGTCCCATATTCTCCCCTTCCCCCTGCCATCCATACCGAAACTCCTCCTTCCGGATCCCTCTCCCCCTCCGCACCCGCCAGACAGCTTCCCAGATACTCTTACCCACCAAACATACCGCCTTGGGCCGCTGAGCCGCCACCTTCGCTTCCAGCACGGGCACACCCGCGTCCATCTCCGCTTTGCTGAGCATGCTGGCGTCTCGCGTCGGGCGTTCCACGATGTTCGTGTTGCCGACGTTGTAGAGATCCGGCAGCCGGTATGTGTCTGAGGGGGGGTGGCGGGTGGTGGTTATTCCGGATGAGTGGAGGAGTTTCCAGAAGAGATTTGAGGGGTGGGCGTATGCGTATCCTGTCGTTCCGGTTAAAATGCCCGGGTTGACGCCGACCAGGAGGAGGGTTAGGTTTGCGGGGATCGTGTCGCGGAGGAGAGAGGATGTTGCGGGTGGAGATGAGGAGGACGGTGTGGCTGTTCGGGAGGTGCGTGTGCGGCGAGATCGTGTTGGTGGTTTTGTTTTTGGAAGAGGGTTGGGTGATTGTGGTTGTGGTGAGGATGCGGAGGATGCGGTGGTGGTTGATTTAGAGCGAGTCGTGTTCGTGCGTGATGGGAGGAGTGGGTTGCTCTGTCTCATCTTTCTTCGCTTGGGTGAAGGTATTATGGAGTTGTTGTTCGAGAGATCTGGGGTTTGGTCTTGCGCTTCTCTTCGTTTCGAGCCCGAGCTTGAGCCAGAACTATTATCATCCTGTAGGATGCCACTCGACTCCAACTTTATTTTCTGTTCTCGCCCACCGTTCACGTTCTTCGACGCGTGGAAAAACTGATTCAGTCGCCCATTGAAGCTGGTCAGCTTGTTCACGGGGACGTCGTTGTCGTCATCGTCGATAGGATCTTGTTTCGAGACATCTTGTATCGTGCAGGTATACTCCGAAGGGGGCATGTTTTTCTGTTTTGCGATGCTTGCACTATATTTTGTTATATTAGTAGGCTGCGTGATTAGCGTATAGAGCGAAAGAGGTTTTATATAGCTGGTGGCGAACGGCTTCATTAAAAATCCTTGATTCTGGTCCTTTTTGGTTAAAAGTGAGCATTGTCCTTGCGTTGGATTCGAGGGGCTAAACTTGATCGGGGAGGACGGTTGGCGGGTTGGTCACGTGCTTATGCATAGGTAATGTGAAATTTTTTTGATGACTCAGGATGCATGCATAACTACTTGGTGCGTAAGGAATGTGCTGGGATGAGTTGGCTGCAAAATAAATATAATTGCATTTGGAACGAAGCTTATCATCTCGGTTGTTCGTTGAGCTCCTATATTGTGTAGTATTAGGAATGATGTGGACAGGTACAATGGAGTTACCGTACTTGATCACCTGACGCACGCCCCCACCTGACGCACGAATTTTACCTCAGCACCTACATAGAAATGAAGCTCTAGAGCCACACACATTTAGTATTATATAGAGATTTTTAGAAGGTTGAATAAATGCATTATAATGAAGCTATTTACAATATTCTTTATTGCCGAAAGCGCTCAGGGAGGCGGATCTGCCTACCGCGGCGATTAAGCGTTGGGGGGGGCTCATCAACAACCTCAGGTTCTGCAGCAGCTCTACCACTCGATTTCTTTCCTTTTGGGGTTGTAGGGACCTTATTCTTGCCTGTTTGAGCGATATTGATGTCATTTTGAAGCTGTGTATCAGCTTGCTTAGCGAGCTGATCATCCCGCTTTTTCTGCTTTCTTGCCTCTGCCTCACGAACCCGCGTTTCTCGATTTAAAGCGCGGATTCGTTTACGTTCTTCAATCAAAAGCCTTTGATCTTGCTTCTCTTGCTGTTTACGAAGCCTTTCCTCTTCTTTTGAAGCTTTGGCGAGCTGTATAGCCTCATCTCTTTCTGCTTGAAGGTCACGAGCTTGCTGAATCTTCTTAGGAGAGTAAAACACCGCGTAGCCGTCCTCAGGGGCCCGTAATTCAGATAAAAGAGGCTTGCCTCGCTGACGCTTCTTTTTCTCTTGAAGAAGGGCCTCTTCAAGGCCCTGGCAGCGTAGTTTTAAGAGAACATTCTCTGTAGACAGACAATGCATCGTAGAACTTAATTTTTTGGCCTTTTGATCGTATCAGTCAACAACTGCGTGCTTAAGAAGCCTCTCAATCTTCCTCCAATCCTCTGCACCAAGCACTGAGCGAGATGACTCACTAGATGAAGGCCGATTATCGTCATTCCGATTAAATCGCGATAGGACGATATCAGGATTCAACGGCCAAACACCTACCGATTTCCACGAAGAAGCGATATTCTCAGCAGATAAAGTGCTCTCCCATGACGGCCAAAAGAGGCGAAAAAAGTCTCTTTTTGTGATATGACAAAGTCCTTGAGATTCATGCAGAAATCGTTCTAATCTCTCGCTATACGCTGTAGAGAGAGGCCCGAAGATTCCAACGTCAAGTGGCTGGAGCGAATGCGTAGAATGAGGCGGATAAGTCATTAGAAGGATCTTATTTGCCTCACAGTATTCGAAAAACTTCATATTGACATGAGATCCGTGGCCGTCAAGAATAAGAAGCCTCCAACGCCGCCTCGCCTTCGCTTTTGTCTCTCGATCGAATACATCTCGCAGCCACGCGTATCCTAGCTCGTCATTCGTCCATCCTGAAGGCGAGGATGCAAAGAAGCAAGGATGAAGAGAATGATCGAAGTCCTGCAGCCAGGAATCTTGAAGTTTTGAAGAGGCAGCTTGGTATATAAGACCCGGAGATAGCGAGGTTCCATCCGCGCAGATACAGGCGAGCGTTGTAATCCATTCTCGATTTCCATCCTGAAGCCGTTGCTTCATTCCATTCTTCTCGTATAATGGTTTAGAGAAGATTCTCTTCGCTTTACTGAGCATTCCGATTAGGAAGCCTTTCTCATCCATATTATAGATATCTTCCTGCTGTATATCGTATTCCGAGATCTTGCGAGTCAAAAGTTCAAAATATAATGCGTAATTCAGCGCAGAATCAGCCTTTTTTCGAGAGGAATCGATCCCAGTTGTGTAGCGAGAAATAAGATCATCACTATATCGTTTTATAAAGCGGCTCGGCCACTGTTTTCCGGGACGATTACCAGAGATCTCGTGAGCTAGATTTCGCAGCATTTCAAATGATATATAAAGGCCTTTTTCGCTCAATCGATTGATATGAGAAATAAGCACTTTCACTTGCCGATCATTAAGCAATCGTTGCTCCTGGTATTGCTCATCTTTGGAATGCTGAACGCCGCGGAATCTTCTTGATAGCGTTGACCTATGAATTCCATACTTTTTCGCAATAAAAGTAAGTGTAGGTCTATTTTCAAGCTTCAGGGAGTTTAATTCTGCAATCGCCTCATCAATAGGAGCCATATTGATGAAGATATTGAGGTTTAAAGATGTTCAAAATATCGGTGTAGAATCAATTTTCGTGCGTCAGGTGGGGGCGTGCGTCAGGTGATCAAGTACGGTATCGCAGCTGTGGCAAATGTGCCGTTGTATATTTAGGAAAGGCACCACCATCAGATTATAGTAAGTCAAGGATAGATTCTGTTGAGTTATGTCATATCTATTGACTGTGAAATGCTGATATTGCTACATTATAATATAGAGCACTGTAAAATTGTCAAATTGCAGGAATCCCGTAGGTTGATCGCCTGCATCGTAGACTGGCCATCGCTGGCAGCTATTCTTTGTGCCACCCAAAATCAAACGCCATCCATTTCCCAGAGAACCATTATGCCCAAGCCAAAACTAAGCCGTATATCATGCTATCTGTGTCGTTAGGGTCGTGAGTGGAATGTATGCGTATCGCAAAAAGAATTCATGATGTTATGTGTTGTTATACTTTGAGGGATCGTCGTTTCGGTAACGTCCACGGCTCCGGACATACAACCTAGCAAGTGTCAATGAAGAAATTCCAGGCTGAGTAGATGATACAGGTACATACCTCTCCTTCGCTATATGCCCAAAAGTAGACCCCAATGCCAACCAGGTAGTATATCGCGGGATCCGTGCCTTGGTAGAGAAGCGCTGATAGTAAAGCGCTGAGCGGATAGAGGATAAGTCGCATTTCGATGCTGCGGTGGGCTAATGTTCCCGCGAAGTATTTCAGAGGCCATTCCCAGGCGAGGCCGAGTAGGCCCATTATCAGGTTGAGAATCTGCAGAACCGGAACGGGCGCTACGGCGCCGTTCAGGTTTTGGGTGATGAAGTCCCAGAATACTTTCGGCCAGATGAATCCCTCGATGGCGGCGCCCACTTGGTCTGCGAGGAAACTCAACCGTTAGCATCTCTGATCTATTACTGAACAAAGGAGGGTAGAGAGCAGGTGCATACAGGCAGCAGCCGTGAGGATGATCAATCGGCCCCAGTGGTTTTTGATTAACCTTCCCATGATTTGGATTGGAAGACAAGATGGTGAATGCGCTGAGTAGCTTTCGTCCCGCGAAAGGTGAAGATAAATGAAGGGTATTAGTTCCTTTCAATCGCTCGCCTTGTCAATGGAAGTCGCTCGTATGGATTTCTTCGACAAGGACATGGCAAGGTGAGTTAAAAGTAGTGCGATGGGGAGATAAGATTTCGAATCACAGCAATCACATCCGCACAGACAGTCAATACGAGGATGAAGCGTTTAACGGAGACGGAGTGGGAGGAGTCATGGCATGGCCTGTCATGAAGAGGGAGCGAAGGATGCGCATTACATACTCCGGACTCCTCTTGTTCTACCAGCGCCAACCGAGGGACCGCCACCACCGCATCTCTCCTCCTTTCTCAACCGCTGCCTCCTCTACGCCAATCGCATGACAGCGCCCACCGAGTCCCCTCTTGGCTTCTTCACACGTTCAGAGCTTCCGAGACCCTTGATTGGACCTGAGAGGCCTTGGGAAGAAAGGACCCCCCCCCTCGACCAGGAAATCCTGCGTCCTGCTACCTCCATGCACGACCATCCGGGCATGAACAAATGAGAAGCATTAGACGCTGGAGACTAGCGACCAGACGGAGCGTGACGGTGGAGCGAAGCATGCAGGAGATTTGCGGGAACACACTTTAGCGATACAATGTGTCACTTGCACCTTCTGATTGATGGCCGTCTTTCCTGTGAAGACTCGACGCGCGGGGCATTCGCAATCTGTCTGTTTCCTTTTTTATCCTCCTGGGCGGCGATTTTCGCTGATGCTACTCTGCCTTACACCGTACACCTGTCGCATCTCTTGGCCTTGGAAACGGGACGGTTTCGATAGGCGACAGGGCGGATGGCTGAATGGAATCAAAAAAGGGACAGATGAAAGCGAAGTAATCTTATTTCCTGAATCCTTCCACAGTCACAGGCACAATCACAGCAGAATCTCACCATCTTTTCCATTCGGAAGTTTACCCCCCTCCTGAGTCTTTCTAACCGACTAGGCGACTACTCAGTACGGAGTAGAGGAAGATCATTGATGAGCTTCCTGACAGGGCGCCAAGTTGTCGAACGGACTCCCAACAAATGTGACGAGAATTCAATCGTGCAGAGCCAAGTGGGCCAAGATCCTGCCTTGCATTCATCTCGGATTTATTCCAACTCGCTCAGCGCCAAGCACCAACCACCCCGTACGATGTCAAAGGTCATGTTCGGAGATGTCTGCTGCTTCGGACTAGCCTGGACTAGCATCTCTGATAGCATTCTAATTTTGGCATTCAGTTAAACATCACCTTCAATTCAACTCCCTCCCTTGACGCTTCCAACAAGTTGCATTGCTGTGGAGCACGAAGCCGGGATGCTAGGATCACGCTAAGACCGTGTGACGGCATGAGCGCTTGCAGAACGCTTCTCATAGGGTCAAACCATTCTGGGGTGGCAGAGACTCCACCGTCCACGAAGCAAATCATCTATTTTAAAGGGCATATCATTTTACAAGCTACGGTCTCCACGGATACGCCAAGCGACCACCGGCTCCCAATCGCTTCCAGCTTATCCTGGCACCACATGGTTTCTTTGTGCGGTGGAATCGCCAGGGTATGAGAACATGGAAAGAAGACTCAAGAGAAATAGAAATAGCAAACCAGCGGGCCTGGTGTTACTATTCTTGAACCCGCGGCCGGGATAGCCGCTCGAAACAGAAAGACCAGGCCGGTCGGAAGGTTCATGGCGCAATGTGATGGATTGACATCGGTTCCCCGGAACGTAGCTGAAGGATTGTGCTCGGAAGAGCAAAAGAATTGGCCGTGCGTTCATCTGGCAATTCTAGCAAGAAGGAACAAGTCATACGACGCAGTGACGAGCACCAAATGTGGCTGCAAGAGGGTTTTCTCTCGCGAGGAAAGAAGAGCCTACCATGAAATGTCCATCCACGGCAGGAGTGACGGTTGGAAATGAAGCCCGTACTAGGACCTGCAGCGCTTCAGCAACGTTGCCCAGAGCGCCGGGGGGCATAAATATAGCAGCGCGACTATGCTATTTAGGGTCTTTTGCCCTTCCCCTCCCCTCTCGCCTTCCCTGCACGTCTGCACCCCAAACCATTCCTCCGGGAACCACAACGCCAGCCGTTCGAAATTTTCTCATCGTCGGACCTTCTCTCCCCACCCACATGCGTTGTCTCCGCTGGTGATAACAATAATGCTCCGATTGAGGCGTACTCTTGGCCCCCAATTGACCCGAGGTGCCACTTTCTGATCGATCCGTCATTTGTCTTTCGTGGCTTTACACGAAGACCTTGACTGGCGGTCTTGCCCCTTGAGACCAAATCACCCCATGAAGCCATATGAGAATCCTTATCCCAAACGAAAAAAGAAACTTACTATCTCGTTTTTCAAACTCGGGACATCGAACCCGGCTGCACTCTATGCCATCATCGTCAACCATACCCCTCAACTTGGACTTTGACCGTCTTTATTTCGCTCGGCCAACCTTGGCTGGGGTCGAGCAAAACACCGAAGCTGTACAGCACAGTCCTGGTTAACACAGCCAGAGTCGAACCAAAGAAGTCATTCCTTTATTCTACGGCTCGGCGTTGACCAAAAGAAGGACCGAAAAAGAGCGTCATTATCCGTGATAAATAGTTATTCTGTTGTTTCCTTTTGCCAGTCATCGCTGGTCGATGCTTTAACTGCTGTTCAAACATTTGCTGCTGTATTCCGCTTCGTCCAAATCTTCTTCCATCACCATGACACATGCTTGGGGTTCCTATTTCACAGGTTCGAAACTTTGGTTCTATTCAATATTTTGGGGTGCACACATTGCTATATTTGCAGTAGGCTGGTACGGTTTTCGTATGATTTTATGGAGCACAGTCGCTGATCTCTTTTAGGTACATACAGGCGTCGAACTCGAAGCTAGACGCTCTCAATACCCTGCAATATTCGGTTTGGATTTCCAGAGGTGCTGGTCTAGTACTAACGGCCGATGGAGCTCTCATTCTTCTGCCGATGTGCAGGAACATCATCAAATGTATCAGACCGAGGATACGATGGCTACCTTTGGATGAGACTGTATGGTTTCATCGTCAGGTAGCATATTCTTTGCTTGTTTTTACAGCCGTCCACACGGCGTCACACTATGTCAAGTGAGTCTACACACTCAGGTTGTCATTATGGTGGAGTCTAATGACCTGCAGCTTTTACAACGTGGAAAAGCATCAAATTCGGCCGGGGACGGCAGTCCAAATACACTTCACCCAAGCAGGTGGAATAACCGGCCATATTATGTTACTCTGCATGATGCTGATGTATACCACCGCGCACAATCGAATTCGCCAACAGTCGTTTGAAACGTTCTGGTACACGCATCATCTGTTTGTACCATTCATGCTGGCTCTTTATACCCATGCCACTGGTTGTTTCGTTCGAGACACGACCGACCCGATTTCGCCTTTCGCCGGTCAAAGATTTTGGGACCACTGTCTTGGCTACGAGGGATGGCGATGGGAGCTAGTAGGAGGTGGACTTTACCTTTTCGAAAGACTCTATCGCGAAATTCGAGCTAGGCGACAAACCGTGATTACCAAGGTGATCCGTCATCCATATGGTATTCCCTACCTCAACGTTTGACCTCGAGAGTATCTCTGACAATTAGCAGATGCAATGGAGATCCAGTTTCAGAAAGACGGCTTGAGTTATAAAGCAGGCCAGTGGCTTTTTATCCAAGTACCCGAGGTGTCCAGCACGCAATGGCACCCTTTCACAATAACCTCCTGCCCCTTCGACCCATATGTCAGCGTACACGTTCGTCAGGTCGGAGACTTCACTCGTGCCTTGGGAGATGCCCTAGGTTGCGGACCAGCCCAGGCTCGAGACTTAGAAGGACTTGACCCGCTAGGCATGTATGAGGTGGCTCTCCAGAATGGACAAAAGATGCCCAACCTCCGGGTCGACGGGCCCTACGGAGCGCCCGCCGAAGACGTCTTCGAGAATGAAATTGCAGTCCTCATCGGAACTGGCATCGGCGTCACACCCTGGGCCTCCATCTTAAAAAACATCTGGCACCTCCGATCTGGCCCTAACCCTCCTCGTCGTCTCCGTCGTGTCGAGTTCATCTGGGTCTGCAAAGACACCTCTTCGTTCGAATGGTTCCAAGCCCTTCTGTCGTCTCTAGAATCCCAATCCGCCTCCGCAGCCGCTAGCGAAGGCCGTGCTGAATTCTTGCGCATCCACACTTACCTCACGCAACGTCTTGACGAAGATACCGCCGCCAACATTTACCTGAACTCAGTCGGCCAGGACCTCGACCCTCTCACCGAACTACGCAGTCGCACCAACTTCGGCCGTCCCGACTTCAAGCGTCTCTTCACGGCCATGCGAGATGGTCTCCAAGACCAGACCTACTTGTCAGGCTTGTACGGGACCTTGAACCGGCGCACCGAAATCGGAGTATACTTCTGTGGTCCGAATTCAGCGGCTCGACAGATTCGAGAGGCCGCCGTGACGACGTCTACTAAGGATATCAAGTTCAAGTTCTGGAAGGAACACTTCTAACTTTGCCTCTCGTAGTTTGTTTTCTTATTTATTTATTTTTTGTTCTCTTCTAGTTATCTCTGACGGTCTAGACAGTGTGTAATATTTGCATGCGAAGCGAAAAGAAAGGATATGGGTATTAACTATTTGCTATGAGATGTCATGACTAACGATTCTCTTTTTTTGTGGTTTAACGAGGTTGTTTTATTCGTTGTTTCTGTTTCTGTTTCTGTCTTCTTCCAGTCATTTCTTTTGAATCTTTTCTTTGATTTTCTGTTTCGTCTCTTTCCCTGTTTGATCTTGATTGGCTTCTGGAATTTCCCCGTCTGCCATGATTCTTGCAGTTTTTGTACTATATTTTCAGAGTATAGCCCCCGAATTGGATTTACCAGTACAGATAGTGATTATGTAGTGGAATATTAACATATGGATAGAGATATACGGCCTTCATTCGAGCCAAGAAATTAATAACCACCGAATGGATGTGCCATATTAGCATTTCGCATTAGCATACAACACCTTGTAAGAGATATATACAACCCCAAGTCTACAACTCCATCCTCTCATCCTCACTCTCTGCATCCTCAGGTATCGTAATCGGGATCCCCAACGCCGCAGCCCGATCCTGCATCTTAGCCGCTACTTTATCCAACAGATCCTCGATGTCGACGTGGATCCGTAACTCCTTCTCCACGAGAACATTGTACACGCGACGGAGCTCGTCGAAACCCATTCCTTCGTTTTTACCGGAAGGTGGTGCTGGCGATGAGGATGTACTAGAGTGTCGTTCTCGGATGACGTCCGCGCGGAGATGGCTGAACGCTATCATCACGAGTTCCTTGGACCACGGACAGGCGCGCATACCGCGGTAGAAGACGTCCTTGGCGCGACGGATGTCGTGGTGCGAGAGTTCGAAGAGGATGTAGAGTTTCCAGAGGGTGAGGTTGGAGCGGGCGCTGGATGTGGATGTGGATGTGGAGGGTTGGAGGGTAGAAGAGGGCCTGTCTTGGCCGGTGATGGCTTTTTCGAAGGCCGCTCGGGCAGAGTGGATGGTTGAGCCGGCGTGGACGGGTCGGCTGAGTTCGGTGTATATGGAGAAGAGATGCGATGTGATGGGGACTTGGGTTGTGGTGAGGAGATTGTTGGCGTTGCTGTTTTCGCTGACGCTGACGCTGCCTTGGGGGTGCGTGGTGATGTCTCTCATGGTGTCTCTGACGCGTTCTTCGATTCGGAAGCGAGATTCGTTCCAGGCGAAGAGGGAGAGGAACATGGTGTTGTGTGGGAATAATGAGATGCTCTCGGTTAAGAGAGTTCGGATGTATGAGGGTTTGTAGAGGGTGCTGGTGCGAACGTGGTGGTAGAGGAGTCGTGCGCGCGACTGGTGGAGGAGTTCCATGGTGAAAGGTCGGAAGGAGCCAGTGTGCGATGGCATTGCATCGAGTCTGCGGGTGGCGTTGAGGTATGCCTCTTGGGATTTGACGAGGTCGAGTGAATGAGCGAGGTAGAGTAGTATGGCCAGACAATCGGTGCAAGCAGCGAAAAGGTCGGCGTTCTCGGCGGCGAGGGCGGTTTCCTGTGTTCCCGACAGATCCTAGGATTATTAGTGCCATGTTGCTAAGGTCGGGTGGAATTTTTGTCTTACACTCTGTATCTTGAGAAAGCTGGTTGGGCTGATGGTGGACTGGCTGGAAAAATCAGGGAAAACCTTCGGGTCGACACTGTTCTCAGGCATAGACAGCAGAAGGTGGGAGGCGTGGGCTATATTTCGAGCTTCTAGCAACTCCCATATCCATGTATGCCATACTAGGACGCTCTGAGCTTTGTCCTTCTCCGAGAATGTCTTGCTCATGGAGAGAGAGGTCGCCCAGACGTGGTCGGCAACTGCCAGGTTGCCTGAGCGTCGCTCGATGAGAGCGTAGCAATTGTAGAGCCGCAAGCTAGAGGACCGCTTCTTGAGCAACGATTTTGCGTACTTCTTGGCGTCCTTGCTGCTGCATGCGAACTCTACAGCAATGGTATACTCCGCTATGAGCTCATTGCCCGGCATTGCCTCCACTAATAACCTCAGAACACGCCGGGCCCAGTCGGGGTCGATATCGGATCGCCTATGTAACGTCGCCTGAGCCCATGATCTCAAAGACGCAAACCATGCCCCCTCGTCGGCAAAAAGGGTTTGAACGGTGTGGATGAACTTTTGATGAGGGAAGAGAATTGGCTGATCGGCACTGGAAGAGTCCTTGGGAAGCCAGTCGTCAAGACTGGATTGTGCACTACCCGCGAGATAATTCTGCAAGAAGCTATCACCAATCCAGCAGGCAGTTGTTTCCAGGTTTCTCGGAGATATTAGAGGCGGGAGGCAGCAGAAATACAGAAAAGCGTCGACCAATTCTTCAGCCGAATTCAGGTGCCAGACTAAGGATACAATCTCTTGGAGGTCCGATGAGAGGATGACTCGGAAAGGGTCGTCATCTTCGGATTCGTCTAAGCTGCGACCAGGAAGTCGGGCATTGAGAATCCGCTCCCTTTCACAGGTTTCCCATGTTGTGAAGATTGCCTTTGGATTGACGTGTGAATCTGGCTTGAAGACTCTAGGGGCTGCAGGAGCACCACCGCCATTAGCCCAGCCTTTTGCACCAACTTCGCCAATGCGAGCACTCTCCGACTCCCAGAATTCCATCAATATCGATATTATCCCCTGTGAGTCTGCGTCTAATGATTGAGACCGAAAGAAGGCAATCTCTAGAGTTGCTTGCCAAAGGCCAACGGCATGTTCTGTGAACCCGGACTCGCGAATGAAGACCGTTAGTCGGAGAAAAAGGTAGATTTGGACATGGGCTTTCCCGGGATTATCTGGAGCCGACCGATTGAGCCTTAAACACTCCAGGAAGGTTGTTAGACATTGTTCGTAGGTAAAATCCAGGAATTCAGTCTGTCGAAAGTCCAGGTACTTGATCCAGAGACTGACGAAGTGAGCGTTCGACTTCAATACGGCCTGCCATTGTGCGGACAGCTTCTTCGTATCCCACAATTTTGCGCCTTCTTCCAGTCGTCCGAGGAGTAAACGATCACGGGCAGGAGTTTGACCGGATCTTTTTAGGGCCTTTTCATACAGCGAAAGCTTGATATCGGCCAAGCTTTGCTTTTCGGCATAAGTCAAGGCGCTGGATTCCCGTCCAGCGCCCCGGAGAAGAGTCTCTTGGTGATCGATAAGCTGCAGCCATGTGCTAACATCGCTAGGCTTCTTCTCAACGGCTCTTGTCAGTTCAACATTCCGTTGTTTGATCTCCTGATCTGGATCGACGCGAACCGCTTCGTCATCACTCGACCCGCTGTCCGACACGGCCTCTAAGTCGCTCGGGATGTCGTCTTCCGGTTTGGCTTTACCGTGGATTGAACGATACGCGTGTTTTTCATCGTCCGACTCGATCTCGCCAATGTTTGCTTGTTTTCGTCGACTACCGGAAACGTTGAGAGGTAGAAAGTCTTTGGTGGCATCCGTGTCCTCATTCGGTGAAGATGCTTGGCGTATTCGAAGTAGTTTCGGTCGTTGCTTATGGAGGCCCGCCAGTATGCGCTTGGATTTCGTTTTGGACGTATCGGAGCGCCATGAATCTGCCCTTATAACCAACGCATCGCCCTCAGCGGAATTTCGGTCGATTTTATAGTTCGGAGGGAGGCCCAGTACACTCCCTCGACCGACGCGATGATAGAGGGGAATGCTATAGCGATAGATGGTACCATAGATCAGATTGTACTTGTCGCCTTTGCGATCGATCACGTATAAATCAGGGACATCTTCTTCAGGCGCCTTCACCTTGGCTTTAGACGACGATCGGAATCCGGGGGTTGCATCCCTCGGTTCCTTGGGGGTGTCGCGACGGCGATGTTCCGGTTCTCGACGGGCATGACGATGATCTAGGTGTTCTCGCTCTCGGCGCCGTTCTTTCGAGCGCGAACGATCGCGATGACTTCTATGTCTGGAATGATGACTGGAACGATGCCGGGAACCCTCCTTCTCTTCTCTCTTAGTGGTGTCGCGATCGGGTCGCTGGACCGCGGGCGGAGGAGCTGTCGGGGGCTTGAAGCTGGCGAAGCGCGGGATGGGTTTTTTCTCCTGCAGTGAAGGAGACATGATTAGTGGACATGACTTATCAAGGACCCAAGAGACAGAGGACAAGCACTCACCTGAGAGCCGGAGGAATCCATGCTCTTGAGACGTGGGCGTGGGCCAAAGCAGGTCGGAGCCAAAGGCGGGCGGAATTGACAACTGGAAAAACTCCGTTCCGCGATTTTTTTCTGCTGGGGAAAAGCGGCAGTAAAAAAAGTTGCTCCGATCAACCTTCCTCTGCCTCCCCTCCAGATCGATTACGCAGTGCTCTTCAACGCCAGTGGAGCTCAAGAAGAGGCTTGTCTGGGGATGGATACTTTCTGTCTTTCTCGTTAAAAATTAATTCACCCTCAAAATCATGGCTTCGTCTCTCTCCGCGCAGTTGGCGCAGATCGCGGCCAACTCGACCAGCCAATTGAACCTCCGAGCTCAGCGAATCCTCCATTCGCAATCGCTGATTTTCGACAAGAAGGTTGCTGGATCCCAGGACTTTCAGACGATCTACGAAATATGTTACGAGGGCTTTCAGGAGCTATGCCTGCTGGACCCCCGGTTCGCGCAGTTCGAGCGGACCATCTTCAGCGAACAGAGCACCGGCGAAGACCGAACGGAAATGAACGCTGCTCAGAACAAGGAGCTGGACACGGCACTGGAAGCTTTCCTGGCATTAGTGGGAGGAAGATTGCTGTTGAGTCCTGCGGTTAAGGCGGTGGATTGGCTCGTTCGGCGATTCCGGTGCGACAGTGACCCAATGCTTTTTTTTCTATAGAAAATAAATCTGACTTTGGCTAACATCCTGCAGAATTCACGAGCACAATACCGCGTTTACGATCCTCACCTTCCTGCCATACCACACTACCCCTCTTTTCTTGAACCTGCTCTCGATACTTCCCCAGGACTTGACGCCCACGTTCAAGGTGCTCAACCCGTACAAGCAAAGCCTGACCAACCCTCCTCGTCATCCGCTTTTGCACAGTGCCACGACAAATAAGCTATTCCTTGCCGCAATTAATGAATATACCCTTACGGTCAGTCGACTGCAGGCGGGCCACCATGCGCTCCTCTCGTTCTGGGCGGGAATTATGACGGAAGCTGTTGCGGGAATGCTGGACTCAGCGCGCTCGGGTCGCAGAGCGGTGGAGAAGCAGCAGCACGACGATATTCTTCTGCGAGTTCTCGCTGTTCTGAATGACGGATTGGCCATGAAGGATGTCTCGGAGTTGGTTATTGGTTGCTACATGGTTTGCGTGGTTCTGGCCCAGAAGGCCTCTCTACAGGATACCGTCCTCGACGAGCTGATGGGGGCTGTTGCGGGCTCGTGGACTGAAGAGACGGCGAATTCGGGTCTGATTTGTCTGTCCGTCATGGCACAGCTGAAGCCCGACGCAACGATACCGAAGCGTGCGTTCAAGGCTATTCTCCGATTGGACAACCTGGTTCAGCAGCTCTCTGAAATTTCGACCCAGTATAAGACATCCAACCTGCTTCTTGCGCTTGTGGCTGGTTGTGTCCAAGACATCTCGAATCAGAAGGACACCTCGCGACTGGATCTGTTAGCGCTCATGTTCGAAGCGCAGTTGTTCGGCGAAGAGGAGACCGGCAAGGCCATGGCCTTGGTCTTGGATGCTGCTAGCAATGCGAACAAGGAGGGTGTCATGTCGTTGGACTCCCAAACTCACCTGGCTGATCTCGTCCAGTCTTTCAGCAACTCGGAAACCCTCAAGCCCATTTTCCAAAAAACCGTCGCAGAATCGTCCCTAAATATCTCCGCTTTGGAACACAATCTGCAGACTGTTCTTGAGTCGGCACCGACGCCAAAGGCCCTGGAGGATGTGGAAATGGAGGATGCAGAGGACAAGAAACCGGAGCAGGATGCTTTCCCGGAAGCTCTTGAGCCCTTGAAGGCGGAGAGCCCGTTCAAGGCTTCATTCCTTTCCGCCCAGTCTATTCCTGTTTTCGACCGTCTTGTCCAGGTCTTTGCGCTCGCTGTTGGATCTCAGGAAAATCTCGATACTTTCACCGAATTGAAGGTCCTCGGAAAGGCGGATGCCACCAAGTCGCCACAGTTCCTGTCTTTCTTCGTCCGAGTTTTCTCTGGCCCATTCCCCATCGGCACCCGAGGGGCGGCGTTGAGCATTATCTCCGCCTTTCTCAACTCTGCTGCTGCCGACCTTGACTTCCAAGCCCTGCTTCCGTTTGTCTTGGTTGCTCTTACTGATTCATCGGAAAGAATTCGCCGCGAAGCGGCCGGTCTCTTGGCTACCGTTGGCAATCGGTATAAGAAGAGCAAGAAGGCGGACAATATGACTGTTTGGGCTCGTGACACTCTGTACGGCCAAGAGAAGCAATCCAATGACATTCCCTGGCTTTCTGGCCGGGACGCCCAGAAAGTGCTGGAGCGCGCATTCATGCCAGGCCTGGAAGAGTTCATCTTGGACCCGGCTCATATTGGCCGTGCCCTCGAGACGACCCTGCGCGGCTCTTCAGTGACCGACTCTGGTGCTGCAGAGATCAAGAAGCCTCTCCGATTGCACCTGTTCACCTTGCTTTGCTCCCATACCGTCCAAGTGCCGCTGTTTATACCGAAGAATGGGCTGCTGAAATTGCTCAACCGCGTTGACAAGGCGGGTGGAACTACGCGCACGAAGGAGCTCGAGCCTGTGCTGAAAATGTGGCGAGACTTGGGCGAAAAGAAGGCCCTGGAAGCTTGTCAGAAGGAGCGCATTCCCCTCACTGAAATGGAGGACCAGGTCGTTGCGACGGTCACGCCCAAGGAGAAGGACGCTGTCACCGTCCTTCTGTCTAACGTTCACCCTTACTCGCAGTCCCTGAGCCCGTCCTTCGCCGCCGCAATCTTCCGCCGCATGAGGGACATTTGGTCCAAGGTGCCTGAGGACCGCCAAGTCGTTGCCACCGAGCAAATTTTCGAGATCTCTCTCGGCCAGGCAGACTCGCTACTTGTCGCCGGCTGTCGTGATGTGTTGCGTGGCGTCGAGCTGCCGGGACCTGCTCTGCTTCAATTCCTGCAGAAGATCCCTGCCTCCGTCACCGACATGGAGTCTCTTGGACCGGCACCCAAGAGGAGACGCACTAGCCAGAACAACATGGTTGCCATGACAGTCCGGGACGAGGCCAATCTGGGTCAACTCATGGAGAAGATGACGTTCATTTTGGAATTGGTAGACAGCTCAAAGCCGGAGGCACACCCGGAATTGGCCGACGGTTTGTTCCAGACCCTGGCTGCTCTTCACCACTTGAAGTCGCAGATCCAGTCTGGAATGAGCTACCTTCTGAGTCTGGTTCTTGGCAGCCTTTTGGCCATTGTCAACCGATCCAAGGCAAATGCCAAACTGCAATTCGACACTTCAGTCATCCGGGCCGATCTGGTTGTGGATTGTGTCCGTACTACCGACAGTCCTCAAGTGCAGAACTCGGCACTTCTCCTGGTTGCTGGCTTGTCGGTCATCGCTCCTGAGCTGGTCCTGCACAGCGTGATGCCCATATTCACCTTCATGGGATCGAGCGTTCTGCGCAAGGACGACGATTACTCCGTTTCCGTGATTGACCAGACGATCGACCAGGTTGTTCCGGCACTTATCCAGTCCCTGCGCAACCAGAAGCGCGATGTGGTGTCGGGTACATCAGAATTGCTGCTCAGCTTCACCGCGGCATTCGAGCATATTCCCTCGCATCGACGCCTGCGACTGTTCCATGCTCTCATCACGAAGCTGGGTACGCAGGACTTTTTGTTCGCCGTTCTTGCTATGCTTGCCAATAGATACTCCATGGACAAGGATGTTCTGGTCTTGATGACAGGTCTTGTGTCTGATGCTGAGGCTCCTATCGAACTTAGCGTGCGTTTTACACTTGAACACCCCCTTTTATTTAACAAGTGACTAACCCTGTTGCAGACATATAAGAAGTACCTCGATCTCGTCATCGATTCGCTCAAGAAGAATCCCGGTATCTCGAAGGTGCTTCTTGCAATCGGAACTGACGATGGGCGCGAGGCTCAGAAGGTTGCAGTTGATCTGCTTCGGGCATTGGCCTACCTGTTCCGTCACTCGTCTTTGAAAACGAAGATGGCGCAGGCGTTCGAGTCCGAGGAGGGCGACGCCCCCGGCCAGATTCGGGATCTGTTCTCCTTTATCTTGGAGCAAGTTCTCGACATTGGCGATTCCATGCAGAGCGTGAAACCCATCAGCCAGGCCAGCGGCGAAGTGCTCAGCGCGCTGTTCGGTACTCTGTCGCTTGCCGACTTCATTGATACCGTCGAGGTCCTGTTGCAACGACCCAACGACGAACTCCGTCGGAAGGTCCTCCGACTCTTGGAAGGCCGTCTGCGCCAGACCCCCGAACGGGACGGCCCATCGCAGATCCGGATGCTGGACTTCCTGCCGACGCTGGTCACCATCGTGGAGTCGTCGCCCGACATTCTGCTCAAGCACGCGGCCGTGGCTTGTATCGACCGCATTGCCGACAAGTACGGCAAGAAGGACCCGTCGAAGGTCATTCCTGCGGCTATTGCGGTGGCTGGGAAGACCTGCATCGGCTCCGAGGACGATCGCATTCGCATCATGGGCGTGTTGTGTTTGGCCTCGATGGCCGAAGTTCTCGGCCAGGCGATGATTCCTGCCCTGCCGCCGGCGGTTAGTCAGTCTCTGGCCCTGCTCGAGCTGAGTCTCGAGGCTGGTCAGGAGAACACCCGACTGCACGATGCGGTATACTCGTTGTTCTCCGCCTTGTTCGTCCACCTGCCCTTCATGGTCTCCGGCCCCCAGCTGGACAAGATTCTCCTGCTTTCGTTCAAATCCGCTTCCTCGGAGGAAAGCGAGGCCGAAAGCCGACAAGAGGCGCTGCGGTTGATGGCGCGAAAGGTCGACCTCGCCGCCACCTTCGGTGCGGTGGATCGCAACTGGCAACACGCTACGGCGGCTGGCCCCGAAGCCACCAAGGAAATTTTGGAGGTGGTCAGCTTGGCCATCCAGAAGCACCCCAAGTCCGCTATCTCGAAGAGCCTACCCATTCTTACGAATGTACTGTTCAAGGCGTTTGACCTGCGCCGTGAGCAGAGCTCTATTGGGACTCGAGCCACTCTTGAGCTGTCGGATGTGGACGAGATCGAGGACAGCATCAACGATATGACGATCAAGATGATCTACAAGCTGAACGACACGACTTTCCGTCCGATCTTTGTCAAAATGCTGGACTGGGCCAACACCAGCGTTTCGAAGAAGGATACGCAGGGCAACTTGGCCCGCCAGACGACGTTCTTCAAGTTCCTGCAGGTGTTCTTCGGCACGCTCCAGGTATTTTCTACTGAACCCTATACTTCTAAAATGAAACATTGCTAACCTCTTCCAGTCGATCGTCACCGGCTATGGCAGCTACATCATTGAGACTGTGGTTTCCGTCCTCGGCAAAGCCAAGCCGTCCGACCAGGCGACCAAGTCTCTCTGGCTGGCTACGATGCGTATGCTCCGAAACGCCTTTGAACATGACCAAGATGGTAAGTTCTCTAAATTTTGCATGTTCCTGCCCAGCGAACTAACGATGAATCCCAGAATTCTGGCAATCTCCCTCTCACCTTACCGCCATCTCGCAACCTCTGATCTCGCAACTCGCCCACGCCACCAACTCCCCTAGCGCCAACCTGGTCATCGCCGAGACGGTGCCAACCATCACCGAACTGGCCGTGGCCGCTGACTCCACGGACAACCACAAGGAGCTGAACTCGACGCTGATGCGCTTCCTGCGGCCGTCTACGGTCACAGGCAAGTCGGCCGGCGGCGAAAACCCGTTTACGCGCCTGGCGGCCCTAAAGGCCGAGCAGTCGCTGACAGAGCAGCTGGGCGAAGAGTGGCTGGCTCTGTTGCCCGAGATGCTGCCGTATATTAGCGAGTTGATGGAGGATGAGGATGAGCAGGTCGAGCGGGAAGTGAGGAAATGGGTGAAGCAGATTGAGAGTGTGTTGGGGGAGAGATTGGATGATATGTTGACCTAGTTAAAACCAGGTGGATGCATGATTGGCGTTGGTTTTTTTTTTTTTTTTTCGATTGTTCATTTTTTGTATATGAATGAAAAGTTGTAGACTTGTTTATATCATCCTTTTGGTTTGATAGTATTTTTCTGGTTTCAGATTCGTCAAATCGAGTCGAGTTTTCATAAACGTCCCTCAACCACAGACCACAGCGTGATCATGATTAACTCAATCTCGCTTGCGAAGATTCACATACTTCAACCCTTGAGAACTAAGCGTTGTAAATTAATATAATAATGTTCATAAAATGAATCCAATCGTTAACCAGGACAAACAGTTGGTGGAAAGCCTTGCCTAATCGGCCCAGCATCATCCAAACAGATGACGTCTTCCAGTCCCTTTCTCGTCTTGACTATGTCGTCTTGACTATGTCGTCTTATTCTTTGGGGTCCTCAGCTGGCGGACGTGAAGCGTCGGATGTCAGGCGATCAAAACTCATATTAAGGAGGGGTCTTTTCCCGATGCTCGTCTTTCGATGATCTTCTACCGAAGATTGACGTAGGGACTGACCATGTCCCTCAAGTCTTTGTGCCATGAGGAACGAAATGTCGTCTCTGATCGAAATGGCGTAAAACTCCAATTTGGATTGGTACTCGGCCAATTCTGACGAATACAGACGTTCACTGAATCTCCTGAGAGGAGACTTCTTGGTGAATAGTAAGATCTGGTGGCAGAGACGAACAACGACAACGAAGTATTCGAATAGCGCCACCTTCAAGTGCGTTGACCGGGGATATAGTTGTGCGAATCTCTCAAACCGTGGCGTCGTGCAACCAACGGTCATGAATAGATACAATAGCTTCTCGAAGTAAGCTACCGTGTGAAGGTTAAGGGCTAGCTATGGGTGCGTGTTAGCGTACGTATGCATGAACAGTATGTAGAGATGGAAGGTAAAGAGAGGCTCGGCCCGGGGAAATGTCTATCTGACCTGCAACGACATCCTTACGAGCGTCCAAACTCCGCATGCGATAATATGTTGCGAGCCACCGATAATGATATCGCCCAGCGCTGCGAACTGCTGGACGCACTGGAGGAAATTTGTCGTGCGAGCTCCTAAGCACCGGCCCTGGGTCATTCGTTTGGACCATTTCCGGTCGATTTTCTCCGTCACTTCAATCACGTCTTTGAATGTAGGAGGTTCGTGGATTAGACGAGACTGCTCGGCATTGAAGCCGACTTTTTGGTCATGAGAGAGATCGGCTTCGAATTCTGAGACGACGTGGGCTAGAAGAATTTCGGCGTCGAGGAAGGAGGGATTCGGAAGTGTTGTGGTCATTTTTCTGCCTACGGGTTCTGTAGAAAAGTGTTGGGTTGTAATACTATATAGATTGGAGAGGGGGAGAGCATAGGTTGGGGTTCTAGGTGAGGCTTTGGGTATCTATCTAGCCTTGTCGAATTGCCAAAAGCAACGCCACGCTGCGAGGCTGTTCCAGGGCCGTACTTCATGCAGGTTATTTCCTTTAGCAATGACGATCTCAGTTGCCAACATCCCTGTTACAGTAACCGCCACGGCTCTCGCGCAGAAGAGCAAAGTGATTAGGAAAACGACGGAAATTTATGCCCTTTGAACCGAACGAAACAATACTAGCTGCGACAGGGCAAAGTAGCCAGAAGTACCTTTGTTCATCTGCGCTCGGCAGTCAAGGGGAACGACAGAATGTTCGGGGTGAACTGCAACACCTCAAACCGTACTAGAAAAGAAAAAAATGGTGAGGTTTAGACGGGATATCAAAGATTTCGATCTGAAGACAGATTAAAAATTTGATTAAGGATCAGAGTGGTGTCTTCACGGAGCTAGCGTAGTATTACGAGTTGATTCTCAGACATCGAGGCAAAGGATATAGCCGGGGTGGACAAAGAGCTTTATATCAGAAGTATCGATGACCACCGAAAAATATTTTCATAAAAAAAAAAAGACAGAGTGGCATCGGTGTGTATACCAGAACGTGGAGCTCCACAGCTGGACATGGGCCCTGGCAGTTCCAAAGGCGATTGACAACGTCCAGAAATTTCTCAGAGTACCGCATGTTCGGGGAAGGCGTCGAAGCCTCGAACAGTAAGTGACCAATTGCTATTATGGTACATAATAGCTACTGAGTATGGACTATGGACGTGGTTAGTTAGGGCTAATAGCTGGCCAGATGTCTCAGGGTCCGGAAAGACAACAGAGCGACAGAATTTTCACGATGGCGTTATCACCCATTGCATAATGAAAACGCAAACCGGATCTGGGAACAATGTTCCCATACTTTTACTTGATGGCGTTACTTGAAGTCGACTCGCTGTCCCTGATAAACAGAGATTTATATGAAAAAAAGTGGTGAGGCCGCTCGGTTAGTCTCGGATCTGGCTGGGTCGGTCGCGAGGCTCGGTTAGCGTCGCTTGCGAGAACGGAGGTGATCTGGATGGATGGCGTTATTGTTATTGTTGTTCTTGTTATTGTTGAATGATCAGGTGATGTTGGTCTGCAAAGGGAATTTATAATGATGAAAGAAAGCAAGAAAGACGAAGGTTCAGACAATACGAGCTTAATAATGCAGCAGCGGCGTCACGGTCGGCTGTCCAATATTGAGAAGACCAGAGGACCAGAACATAGAACACGAAAAGACAAGAACAACACGAGTCAGACTAAAAGCGGTCCGATGTCGTAGGGCGTGAGGATCCGCCGAGTACCTTAGTGGGTGGACTACTCCGTGGTCTATCGGCGAGGCTTTCCCATTAACCCGTCCGGAGTATTCCATACATTCAATAATCAATCGCTAGTTTTGCTCGGAATCTGCGTCAATGACACGCAGCAAACACGTCGATCGTCCCCCTCGATAGTTTCATTTGAACGCATCACATGGAATGACGGAATCCCAAAAATCAAACTGTAGGAGAAGGACTCCGGTTGATCATCACGAAAACTCAAACGGAAGAATGGAGATCCCTGGAATGGGACAACGATCTTCGTTCGTGGCGTCAGGGGAGCTCAACTTTGGACCGGATTAGGGTTGGTTCCAGACTCGCTCAAGATTCGTCAGCTCCAGTGCTCTTCCGTATACACCGTATACACCGTAGACATCGTAGAAACTCCTACATCGCTTAGGGTTCCTAAGGAACGAGACCACGCCGAACACGCCGTCTACGCCGTCGACTTCTCCGAGGAGTCACACCTCCCAGACCGTTTAGCCCGTGGTTTTAGCGGTCTTACCACCGGTTTCCCGCAGGGCGTGTGGAATGTCATTTCCAGGGCGCAAGTCAAAAGGCGCGATCGTCGACGGTTCCACCAATTGCCGCCCGGTGGATCCTGGCGTCGTTCGATGGACTAGACCCGATGAAGAACCTGACGAGAGAAAAGAATTGCTCACTGACTGGCTGCCGTGGCTAGTCGCTGGCTGGGTTGGTTCTATGGAAGAGCTTGCGTTAAGCTTGCGATGCCGTCGAGGACAAATGAGGGTTTCGCCCACCCACGTGCCCGGATGGCTTCAATAACGAGATTTCCAAGCAGGGAGGGATGTGACTCACGAGCAACAATGATTGATTGATTTTATTGTCTCGTGTTAGGTTTGTAATTTACTCTAGTCCGTAGAGTACTCCCTACCATATGCAATGACGTCCTGGCTAGTGACTACACCCCGTAGAACTAGATATTAATATTAACTAGATCCTGACCCCCCTGGGGGAAAAAACCTCCCTTGCTCCACCGGTCCATTCCATTACTCAATTGCAACCATCACCCCATCCCTTCATTCTTCTTAAAAGCTGGGGTCATCACTTTTTTTTTCTCTCCTCTCTTGTGATTGTTTTTTTCTCCACCGATCCTGTCTTCTCTCACTTTACCCCATACAGGGAAGGTTCGCTGCCATTGTCGGATACATCGATCTCGGAATGGCTTCGTCCTTCATCACTCGAACCTCCAGTACCTTGGAGGCCTTCACCTCCCGTGTGCAACCCAAGGTCACCGTTGACCTGCAAGGGCAAACCGAGGGTCTAGTGAGCACCTACACCACTGGCGACCGCATTGAAGGCACGGCCACCGTCACCGTCGACCGCGATGTCCGATTCGATGAGGTGGAAATCACTTTTGAAGGTATGTTCACAACCAGTCAGCTTATCTGAAGTATCTATCTAGAACCATATTGACACTTTGCAGGAACTTCTCGCACCTCTGTAGAGCGTGCATCCATCCCCGGCCGCACGGGCGCATATCAGACCTTCCTACGCCTGCGCCAACCCATCGACGACACGGCGTATCCTACTCCGCGAGTGCTTGAGCCCAACCGCCGCTACGAATTCCCCTTCACCTTCGTCGTGCCCGAGCGTCTGCTGCCACATGCCTGCAGCCACCGCAAGACCAACATGCACGTGGAAGCGTCGCACACGCTGCTGCCGCCCACCTTGGGCGACGCCATGCTGGCCGCCGACGGCAAAACGCTGCTGGACGACATCTCGCCGGACATGTGCCGCATCGCGTACCTAATACGCGTAACGGTGCTGCGCAAGAAACCGAGCGATTCGGAAGCCGCCACGACCAAAAGCCTCGTCTCCGTCGGCAAGAAAGTCCGCATCGTCCCCGCCGTCGAGGAGGAACCGCCGCTCAATGTCGCCGACCATGAGCCCGTCTACTGCACCCGCAAGGAAAAGGACGTCAAGCGTGGCCTGCTGCGCGGGAAACTCGGCCGTTTGGTCGTGGCCGCCTCACAGCCTCGACCTGTCGTATTGCATCCCGGCTCCAACGCCGCCGCAGACAACCACAGCAGCAGCAACAGTCTCGTCAGCACCGCCGCCACGCTTCATCTCCGCTTCGATCCCATCGGCACCGAGTCCCCGCCTCGTCTAGGCACCGTGTGGAGCAAACTACGCGTCTTGACCTACTTCAGCGCCGAGCCCTGGCCCGACTTCCCGTCGCCCTCGTCGCCCGCGATGTGGGCGCAGATGGGCCGCGGCGGTTACACGGAGTCGGTGCCTCTGTCGACGTTGTGTCTCGCCTCGTCGTCGGCCGGCTGGACGCGACACGAAGCGCCCCGTCTGGACCGCTGCGACTCGCGCCAATCGAGCACGTCGTCCAGCTCGGACGCCGAATCCCTGACCGGTCCGTCTGCCTCGTTCGATGGATCGGTCTATTACACCGCGTCCGTGGTGGTGCCAGTTGCCCTGCCGGCTAAGAAGGCCTTCGTGCCCTCCTTCCACTCGTGTCTTATCTCGCGCGTGTATGCCCTCGATCTTAGCATCTCGTATCACACGCCTAATGCGAATATCTTGACCCCTACCGTCTCGCTGCGCGTGCCCTTGCAATTCACCTGTGCTCGGCGAGAACCTGTACCTGGGAAGGAGGACGCTTGCGAGATCTCCATCGACGAGATGAATGCAGAGTTCTTCAACCCGCGCAGCGTGGCGCCGCCGGTGATTCCTGTGTCTGCGCCGCCGGAGTACTCCGAGCTGCGTCCGTTCGTGGACTCTCCGGATCGGTCGCGGGATCTGTTGACGAGTTCGACGGGGAGGGTGCGGACGGCTTGTTGAACTGTCTGATGACAGTGCTGAAGGAGGGGAGGCCGGAAGAAAGAAAACGGAACAAGAAACGAGCTACGATTTAAAGAACCAGAAAAGTAACTAAGGCATGGTCTGATTCGATTCGATTTGATTCATTTTTCACAGGAGTTCGGGATATAGGTTTTGATATACCCTTGTTAGCAAGCCATTTTGCATTTGCAAAGTTAGATTAGATCATTAATAATGTTAATTAATTAGTTGATCAGTTAGATAATGCATCTTGAGATTCTTTTTCATTTCATGAAGTCACGAGGAAAGACGTGACAGTCTTGTAGGCGACCTAGTAATAGCTGAGATTTGGCGGTTGACCTTCTTGATCTCTTTTCTGCATTCAGTCAGGCTGTTGTTAGAACCTAAGGAAGGGGTAACTTAGGCAATGGTTTATCATATCAATAGATCTCCAAAGCTTTTCGCCCACAGGGCCTCTTCCTCAAAGTACTTCTGCACCTGACCATCCTCCATCTGAGCCTCTGAATATGTTGTCGCAATATCGAAATCAATCCAAATGACACGCGTTGGTTCCCCACGCACAAGAAGGATATTTTTCGGATACGGGTCATTATGAAGAACCCGCGCGCGATGAATCGCACTCAACCCCTGCATTGCGATCTGGAAGCGCTCGGGTGAGTAATTCATGCAATTCAGCCCTTTTGGTTCCGGTAGATACTCCAACATGATGGCATTGGGTTGATTTTCATCGTCTGCGAAATGACCGAAATGAGGACGAAAGAGAACTGGGTCGATTTGCTCAATATAGCCATAGTAAACTGGAACCGCGCCTTTTTGACACACCCCGGCAGATTGCAGGTTCTTGTAAGCGTTTCACTCGCGACGGTAACGGTTCAGGCCACGGCCATTCGGGGTATAGCCGGGGTCGCCGTTATTGTGAAACTTTCACACGTTAGTTTGGTGCTTTACCTACCTGGTGGAGAGTACGTACCACTTTTAGACAGTAGCGGTCGTTGCTTAGCGTTATCTCGTATAGCGAGGAAGATTCGGAGCGTTGAAGTAGTTGGCAGAATTTGAGAGTATCAGGATTCAAGCTCAGAGGATGTGTATGAGTGCTGGACATGGTGGGAGTTGTATGCGGACTTACAGAGGATGAGTTGTAACCGCGTAGGTTGTTCTTAGGCAGCGCTAGAGGCCTTGTCTTGCATTCACCGCTTCCCCTTTCCCCGTTATGCTATTTTCGTTGTCATTACAAAGTATTGATGAGTATCATAAAAGATTGAACTTCTTTGTTATAGGAAGCTTTGGCTGTGGGATTTTATTTCTGCGTGTCTAACATTAGGCATTGATATCGCTAGGTGATATCCTTACTGCTGTCTTCGACCCTGGATCATCTTCCATAGAAGTCGAACGCTCAGAATATCAAATCCCATCCAATTTTCGGACCCAACCGAGGTAAATGATCAGCTACACTTTGAACATCCTTGTCGCCTCTTCCGCTCAGACTGACGACGATATTCTGCCCCGTCGTCATCGTCCTGGCCAGCTCCATCGCCCCATAGACAGCATGGGAAGATTCTAGCGCCGGCAAGATCCCTTCATATTCCGCCAGTGCACGGAATCCGCTCAGCGCTTGCGCATCCGTAGCAGCCATGAACTGAGCTCGCTGGCTATCCTTCCAAGAGCTTAGTTCCGGACCAACCCCCGGATAGTCCATGCCCGCGGAGATCGAATGCGTGGTCGATACCTGCCCTTGGTTGTCTTGCAGCAGATACGTGTACACTCCGTGAAGTACACCCTTGCTGCCGCGGGTTAGCGTCGCAGAATGGCGAGAGGTGCCTAAACCATCACCTCCAGCCTCGACGCCTAGAAGTTGGACCGGGTCGTGAAGGAAGGGATAGAACATGCCTGAGGCATTACTTCCGCCCCCCACGCAGGCAACCACCGCGTCGGGCAGTCGACCGATGGCCCTGTTCATTTGTTGTTTAGTTTCGTCCCCAATCACCGACTGGAAAGTGCGCACAATCGTAGGGAATGGGTGTGGCCCTGACACCGAACCAAGAACATAATGCGTGGTGTCCAGAGTTGATACCCACGCCCGGAGAGCCGCGCTGACCGCATCGCGCAAAGTCCGGCCCCCAGTCTGAACTGGCACAACCTCTGCGCCTAGGAGTTTCATGCGGAATACATTCAAGGCTTGTCGGCGTGTATCCTCTTCACCCATATAGATCACACATTGGAGACCAAATTTAGCGCACAGAGTGGCGGTGGCTACCCCGTGTTGCCCGGCTCCAGTCTCGGCGATGATTCTCGTTTTCCCCAGTCGTCGCGCAAGAAGAATCTGACCAAGAGCATTGTTCACCTTATGACTCCCTGTATGGTTGAGATCCTCTCGCTTTAGCCAAATATTCGCTCCCCCGACGTGTTCCGTGAGGCGCGCCGCAAGATGAAGACTGCTGGGTCGGCCGAGATATGCGTAATGAGCGCGAAACTCGTTCCAGAAGGTAGGGTCCTGGCGTGCTGCCTCAAATCCGCGCTCGAGCTGTGCAAGGCAGTTGATAAGAGCCTCTGGAACATACTGACCGCCAAATTCACCAAACCGTGTGCTGGAGGGAAGCCGACTGTCGAGGTCCACGGCATTGCCTTCGTCCTGGAATGTAGAGTGGATGGCGCTCTGATGGTCTATGAGTACCCCGTTCGCTCCTCGCACGAGCCTGCGCCCCGTGATCCCAGCGAGGTAATCTACTACATGAGTGGCCGCCTGACCAGCCGGAGCGGCACCTATTACCTTGAGGATTTGGCTCCCGATCACGCAGCCCTGCGCGATGTCCTGCACCGCTAAGAAGTGCTCCCGTGTGCTTACGCCAAATCCTACGGCGGTGGGAGTCCTCCCAGACCAAGTTCGAATTCGACCCATGAGTGCCCAGAGATCCTCACCTAACCGGTCTGTAGCACCCGTCACTCCCATGCGTGAAACCACATATATAAACGAGTCGGCCATTTGACACAGCAGTTTGACGCGCGCATCGGGCGTCGCAGGTGAGACAAGTGGGATGAACGATAGTCTATAACATTCAGACATCAGCATACTGACCCTAGCTAGCACTGTCATTGATACTGACCCGAATGTGTTGCAAAGTCCACGGAAAGAGACTGCTTCCTCTGGCGGCAGGTCCGTCATGACGAAGCCATTGACGCCTGCATCTTTGCAGTTCCTGATCATCCGCTCCTCCCCATATTGGAGAATCGGGTTATAGTACCCCATCAACAGGATCGGGACCCGCACACCTCTCTTCCTCGCCTCACGCACCATATTCAAGACTGTCGCGATCGTGACCCCATTAGTCAAGGCCTTTACGTTGGCCGCCTCGATGACTGGGCCGTCGGCAATGGGGTCGGTGAATGGAACGCCAAGCTCGATAACATCTTACGCAAGATAATTGGGGAGGTGTTAGTTCTATTGAAACGAAAGCTGCGTAGGTGGAAGGGTCTGTTCATACCAGCGCCGCCATTTTCAAGCCCAAGAAGCAATTCGACTGTCTCATCGATCGTAGGGTACCCTGCCGTGATATAGGCTACTAGGGCTGCACGCTGCTGATTCGCAGCTTGAGTGAACGCCTGTCGGATATGGTCCATACCTGCAACTGATGTCTTCGTTAGTTGGCTGGTTAGCCAAACGAATTGCTTGCGAGGCGCGCCTTTCTATATACGCATATCAGCGCCCACCTCGTTATGAGTCAGTCGACAGTGCAGCAAGACCGACGGCATCCGACCCTTCCACCATTCCGATTGACACCCGTAATTCCGTTATAATTTGTGAGATTCTACGGCTCGTGCAGGTGGCAAGAAAAGAACAGGCACTTTCTCCGCTGACAAAGCGGGAAACCTTGTGGAGAAACCCCAAGTCGGGGGTCGCATACCATCATCGAGTGGATCTGCTACGCTCAGAGATTTCACTGTCTTGTGAGGCTACTGTAACTCTACGGACTGGCAATCAGTTGGCAGTTTCAATTTCAAAGATACTGTATGTCTTCGTATATCGGGAAATATTATGACCTTCCGTGATCCGATTATGGGGCCTACAGAAGGGCGGATACAATAAACTGACCCGTTCTCCCAACGAAGTTGGAAAATACACAGATTGTCTCGGGCACATTACGTAGAGATCTACATAATGTCCCCTCATCATAGTGTTACGCGGCTTACCATGGCATCTGTTCGCCGTTGTGGCCCAGAAAGAGGCCAGATGTAGTCGATTTCGTGGCTTGTTCGATCTAAGAAACAAGTGTTAGCACCAGTCCTTGTCCTGTTGATGCTTATTAAGTGAAGAAACAGTTTCACTAACCAGTTGAATAATGCCGTTAACGCTTTGATCAACCGTCAACGTGGCCATATCAAGGCCTCGGGCTCGTGCCCCACGGTTTCCCATGTCTGTTTGAACGAACCTGGATCATTGAAGTTAGCGGCTGTCGTATACACAGCCATACGATTACAACCATTCCCAATTCTATGACTCACCCGGGGTCCACGGAAAACGTTATGAGATTCTCGTGTTCGAAATGAGCTCTCCTGACGAAGAAATTGCCCGCCGCTTTTGACATTCCGTATGCGTTCGTGAGAGATTCCTTGTTCTGCTCCAGCCGTGCAAGACTGGCCATCTCCGTCGACACATACACAAACTTTGGTCGTTGCTGACTCGCCTGTAAGAAGGGGGAAATCGTCCGGAACAATCTCAGCGGGCCGAAAGTGTTGATCTCTAGATGTCTCTGCAAGTCGGAGTCCGTCATCTCGACCAGGGGTCCATAGTGATCGCAGATTCCCGCGTTGGCCACAACGACATCGATCTGTGAGATTCGGTGCTGTGCTTGCAGTTGCTGAGCTGCCTCGATGATGCTGTCGGGTTGATCAAGACTGAGGGATATAATGGTGAGGTTGGAATCGGTACCACGAGGCAAGGAGTGCAAAGGTTCTGTTTTCTCGGGTGATATATCTCGACAGGCCGCGATGACGATGGTGTTCGGAGTTCTCAGGTATGCAGCCGCAAGGCCTTTTCCGATACCTGTTCGAGCTGTTAGTACATGATACATGGGGGATTTTTGAGTAACAGACCTCGATTAGCACCTGTGATAAGGACAGTAGTCGGAGCCATGATAGTCAAAGTGCGTGTTTCTCGTTTTGCTTCGATATGCTAGTTCGTGTGCTTTGGACGAGATAGCTAGCTCTGTAGATTACAGTAAATGCCAAAATCGGACTGGCGAAGAGAATTTATAATCGAGAGGTGGTAGATGATGCCTGTTTCCCAAATCAACTCAGGGTTGGTCGACAGTGGGCCCGTCAAAGGGACTCTAACCTCTGCTCGCGTTCACCGCTAGCCGGATGGCTCCGACGCCATGTTAACAAACAATTTGCCGATGACAAAGCGGCATTCAGTAGTTAACTAGACTCTCAGGAGGCTCAGGAAAAGGCGTTCGAAGAAGTTATTTTCCGAAGCTATTTCGATAATCCGGATTACTACGGCGTGTTATATTCCCGAGGTTCCGTGGCCAGGGGGATTCCTCAGACGAGATATAAATAGTCGTGGCTGATCCAACATTATTGTCTTCTCAGTTCATCTACATTTCCAAGAGTTTGACAATCCGAGTTCCTCATTACACTCGTCTACAAGACTTATTATCATGTCTCCTCGCACCGTCGTTGTTATCGGTGCCACTGGCTCGCAGGTTCGTCACATATCCTGCTACCTTAGCGCATTTTGATAAGTGGCTGATGATTGCTTCAATGAAATCTCAAATCCAGGGCGGCTCCGTTGCCAGAGAGCTTCTCAAAAGCCCGCACTTGTACAAAGTCAGGGCTGTGACGCGCGATCCCAGCAAACCAGCAGCTCAGCAGCTCGCTGCGCTCGGAGCGAGTCTTCAAGCCGTCGATCTCAACGCCGGCGTTGAGGCCCTTGCCGCCGTCTTTGCAGGCGCCGATGCTATATTTGCCTTGACGGACTTCTGGGCTACGCAGTCCACCGAGGTTGAGATTAAGCAGGGCCGCAGCATTGCGGATGCCGCAGCCCGTACCTCGAACCTGCAGCATCTCGTTTGGAGTGCGCTACCCGACCCCGAGAAACTCTCCGGGGGATCGCTTATGCACATCCACCACTGGAAGGGCAAGAGCCTCGTCACGGACTATATTCAGCAGGAACATCCGGATTTGTGGGTCAAGACCACCACTGTGCTCTTCCCCAACTATTTCGAAAACTGCCTGACTCACCCGGAGCGGTATCTGTCCAAACCTGTTAGTTGACTTTATTTCCCCGGTCTTTGGACTGTTTTTAAACCGCTGACATTGGCTTACACAATGCCAGGATTCGGAGGGTGTTTATAACATGATCTTTCCACACAGCCCACATACAGCCATGCCTAATGTGTCGATTGGGGATACGGGCAAGCTCGTTCAGCTCCTTCTCGAATCTGGTAACACCTACTTGACCAAGACCATCGCGTTCTATAACCAAGCTCTCACGGAAGCAGACAAACTGGCTGCTATCGGTAAAAGTAAATATAGATCACACCCGTCTCCTTCCGGTGTTCAATCAATCACGGCTGGCTGATACGTCGGCTCCAGAGTATAACCTACAGACCAGATATCACACCTTGGGCGCCGAGGAGTATCAAAAGGTTCTAGAGACTCGGGACGGCATGTCTCCCGAGATCGCTCTGGACTTTACCGAGCAGCTTCTGATGTTTGAGAAGTTCGGCAACGTGTACGATACACCCGAGTTTGTGCAGGCCAAAGAGGTACGTGTCCCCGTGGTTGATAGACGTATGAATGAGAAATTGATCGATCGCCACCATGCAGATGCCTGGATTGAAACTCCAAACCTGGGACGAGTTTTTGGAAAAGAATGATCTTCTCGCTTACATGAAGAGATCCTGAGGGATGGCATATGAGCCGTGTCGTATCATCTACTGCCATTCCCTACTCTTGACTAGGGGTTAGTACAGTATTTAGTGTGGCGCTATGAGAAACGGAGAATTTGCGGACTGTTTAGACCAGTGGAGCTGTCAGTATATAGTACTTTCCAATTCAATTAGGTTACTAGAAAATTAAACTTGGTTCCTTGGTCACAATACAACCTTCTTATTCCGTAGAGCCCCCAGGCTATCCCCTCGTCCGTCCGGGAAGCACAATTAGCGCATTTCAATTAGTGTATTATATTAACCAATTGATTAGCGGACT